CTGCTGTCTGTTCTTCTGTACTGGACGATGCTGGTGTCTGTTCTTCTATACTGGACGATGCTGGTGTCTGTTCAACATCCATCGAAACTTCATTTGATACAGGCAAAGGCATTGTTTCAGCTAACACATTTTCGTTTGATGTTAGTGGAGGTACTGCATGGAGATGCAACGTCGGGATAGCATCAGGATGTATCTTCCTAGTTCGTATAGGTGAATAACCTAGTAGATGTTCTCGTAAGGGCTTCGTAAAAGCTTCATCAGCAAAATGCTTCGAACATATCCTAGCTGAAGCAAACAAGGTTTAAGATTCTTAAATATATGCTTATAATAATAAACAAGAGAAATCTGTGGTACATTACAGTACATACCATTTTTTGGTAAAATATTTTCTTTTCCGCATGCTTGACGCCACTTATTATACAGTGCTGGATCCTTTGGGAAGGAAAAATATTTTATTTTATTTCCTTCGATCTTTCTGGTCTTTGCCAGATAGTTCCCACACCCTTTCACATTACACGTCATTGCGTACACTGTAATAATCACAAACGAATTACTCGACATAAACAGCGAACCGAGCGAACGCAGCCATTGCGAATCACCGAGTACATCCGATTCATTCCGATGCTACACGAATATGACGTAAGCTTGACCAAAAGTGGTGGGAATGCGCAGTGGTCTGACACGGTATGAGCATACCCTTGTATTTCTACCATGGCCACGACGATGTCAGCCGATGCTTGATTTCGACTACTCGTCCGAGATCGGCTCTGTCGGCTCCGTTTGACTAGAGTTTCTTCCTTCGAGCTACGTGGAAACGCATCAATCTCAAAAAATGGTAAGTGAATTGTTACCTTTTATGTATAAAATCGACAACTCTTTCGTTAATTCTTGCAGAATTAGTACAGGTTAATTAAGGTTGCGTCTAACCTTAATCGTATTCGCCGCAAGAGACGAATACGAAAAAAAAATAAAGAAACAGAAAGAATGTAAATTTAGGAAAAATATAAATTAAATATTTGTCTACCAATCATTTCTTTTGTTTCTGTTTTTTTTTAAATTCCGTTTAATTACTACTTCAGGTGGAAATCGAGTCGATGACGAGATACGTCTCGCCGGTGAACCCAGCTGTCTTCCCGTTGCTGGCTGTGGTGCTGCTAGGAATTGGAGTATTTTTCACGGCTTGGTTCTTCGTGTACGAGGTTACCAGCACTAAATTCACGCGAGACATATTCAAGGAGGCGTTAATTTCTCTGGTCGCTGCGTTGTTCTCTAGCTTCGGTGTACTCTTCCTGCTGCTCTGGGTTGGAATTTATGTATAGATCACGTCGATAAGGGGTTGAAATTTTTACCGAGAAAATATTTGTAATTGTTAAAAAAAATATATCTATATATAATATGAAATATGTATCAAATATATTAATTTGTTCCAGTTGAACTTATTCTTATATAGATGATAATTGTATAACTAAGTAAGCTTAGAAAGGTTTCCACTTTTGTAACATTTTATCATTATTCAACTAAAACACACAACTTCGAATATATTATTTTATATTGTGCATAAGTTTATTCAATCTTTATCACAATGAAGGCATGAAGTTTGTAATACAGGTACACAAGTTCTGTGGCACCTCAAGAAAATAAAGGTTCGCACTCGTTTTCTGTGAACACAGACTACAGCGTGATTAATCTATTCATGCGAATATCATAGTGATAATATATAATTCCGTGTGAAAAGAATTATATCTATTTTCATATTTGAACGCGTGCTATAATTACTGTATCTGCAAGAACATATACATTCTGTTAAATGTTTTTTTTTCCTTTTTCATGTAAAACACAGTTTTCCTCTCGTTACACCGTAAGGAGAAGATGGCGTTTATTGTCGATAAAATAATCTTCTGTGTTTTTCGACGCCGATATAAATTATGTATGTTCCATTTTCGCTGCCTAGCACAATGAGATATTTTACAACAAAATGGAATATTGCAGCTTTAGGACAAAACAACGCACGGAGGATACTTTTTAACCGGCCAGACCGGCTTTCTGTCGACATCTCTGCATTAGCGCTCTCAACATAAATTGTCTGCGCGATAGTTGTCGAACTTGTTTCAGGAACGCGTCAAGATCTAAAGTGCCGGATCGCAGTCCCTCGGCGAGATAGTAAATAGCGTCCTCCGTGGCCGCCTCTTCGGCAAAAGCATTTAGCATCCTGGAAATTCAAGTTGCGTTACCATCAAGCCTATTTATTACAATTCTTCCTACAACTTCAATTCGTAATAATTTTTCAGCTGTAGCTGAATTATCAATTTCGCGCTAAATAAAATTATTTTGTAGTTAAATTTGCATTTATACACTTACTGTTTATATAACGGCGCTATGGTAGTAACAGCTTCGTCGACATCTATCGACTGATTATCAGACAGTTTGCCGATTTCTTTTTCCAACTCTGACTCTTTATCTTGCAAGATATTCACGTTTTTCTCGAGCTCCTGTTTCTCTTTCTTGAGTTTGTCGAAAAGATCCGCTAGGTGCGACGAGCCGCTCGTTAGCTCTTGCTGCGTTCGTCGCAGCGTCTCGAGCTCAGCCTGTAACTGTGAGAACTGTTCCTTAAGTCGGCGTCGGAGCTTATCCTCTACCGCGGACAGCAAAGATGCCCTTATGTGCTCCTCCGTGATCGTGCCAGATCCTCCGGAATTTGGTTGTACCGTCGGCGACTTGCAAATGATCATAAATACTTATTTAATCTGACATATCCTCAAATAAATCCTTAACTATTAATTATCTTAATAATAATATTTATAGACATCAATTATTCTAAAATATAAATATTAATTATAAATGCCATTTAGATTGAAATAAGTGACAATAATTGTGTACCGGTTGCGTGGCTGGCGGATATGGTGGATATGGACCACTGTAGCCTTGCGCCGGGTAACTGGGCGTGGTTCCTGCATAAGAACCATAAGAGCTTGGATACGGGAATCCCCCGGATGCCGTAGGCGGATATGGTGGATACACATTGCCGCCGCCGGAGTATTGAGAATTTGGTGGATATGGAGGGAAACCAGAACTCGATACATTTCCGCCACCAGGTACAGGCATGAATGCTGCGTGACAAATTTTCATCAAGTGTTAAAGAGATATCAATAGAAAATTCAAAAAAGTTCTTACCCTATATAAATATGCTTACATTGAACAGGGTATGGCGTTGAACTCTGTTGCGTTTCTGATCTTGTCTTGGCATAAACCGGAGGCTGTTCCCCAAAGGTAACAATCATAACTTGAATTAGAGCAAGCAAATCTGAATTGTGCTGTAAGACAAAAGAAACGGGAAAATGGAATAAATATTGGAGAGTGGCACATCTTTAATGATTATTAGCGAGTCTACTCACAGGCACCCAGTCATGAAGATACGGCAAGTAGATTTTACCATTGTGATCGACAAACATACTGACTTTGATATGCATATCTGCTGTCGGTTTGACATAACACATAGGTGCATTATTGGGATGCGTATCCATCAGCCATATGCAGATTGGAATATTGTAGCAAGAGCCTATAAAACAACCAACAAGTGAGAAACAATATTTAGTAGTTTTATCATACAATTAACATTTATACTAAAGATTGCTCTAAAAAAAAAAAAAAGATTACCTTTGTAGACGACTGGTATAGTTCCTTGTAAGTTGAGTAGTTCTTTGCGTGAGCCATCATTGAAAACTGGTGAACAGCAAATAAGTTTAACAAACTTTGAGATATCATGAAGCAATTGAAGAGTACAGAGGAAGAACGATTAAAGTCCACTTTTTGTCAAAATTGATCTGATCATGTTATCTTGTGGCATTTTCAAAGAATTTTAATAATGCTTATCTATTTTGATCAAGAACAGTTACAATTCATGGAAAATAAGGCCAAAAGATGTACACTATGCTGAGGAAAAACATGGTCCACATATTTGTTGGAAAAAACCAGAGTCCAACATAAAAGTAAACACTATGTATTCGGATATTCACTGCTTTACCTTTTCAATAGTTTTTTAAGATATCTGATATCTTGAAACTTATAATTTTTTTTTAATTACTCCAGGTGGACATTGATTGTTTTTGTCCTGTACCCTTCAACCATCTTCAAGATCGTTATTATAAGTAATTTTACTTACCAAAAGGCTCGATTTTATATACCAAGCCTTTGTACAGATTCAAGACGCTTATTACATGCTTCTTTGTTATGTCTGGACTTTGATACTACAAAAAACAATATCCTTGTTTTATTACAAGAAAGATCATTTTGATGACTATTACAAGATCATTAGCACAACAATAAAATTAGTAATGACCTATACCTTAGACAGGCCCTGTCTGATCCTCCCCTCATCCAGTGGTGTCATTTTCACCATTTAGCGTGGCAAAGTCGAGATAATGACGAGCCCCTGCTATCTCCCTATCAGACGTACCTAATCAGAATTAATTTTTACAGACGCAGTAATGTGACGGTATGTACGCGATGATCAACGGGCGCGCATGAAGTTTTGCGTTATCATCGACCGACTTGAGGGAATTTTTGTGGCGCGATGAGATCATCAAAAGGGCAGTCGCGAAAAGTCCACTAATCTGTCATCCACGAAACGTCATCTGTGATGAAGATGGAACTATCAGAACATCAGAGCCGTCCATGAATAATTTAGCATCACCGCCGTCGTTCGATCATCGACTACGAAGGCGGAAGGCCATCTAACAACTTCAATCCTTCCTCGAATCAAAGCAGCAAAAGTGATGCACAAATATCTAGTCGCGTGCGTTCGACCAACCACAGCCGACAGTTTTTAGATGGCAGTCCTGCGTTTTTGAGCGTTCTCGATTGTGATTGGTCGATTCGCTTCCTACTGCAGTGCTTGTGTCACCCCTGTGCGTATGTGGCACGCGGGCGACCGGTTCGCGAGAAAAGAGGTATAAATATCCGCAGATATCATCCTGTTGCACGTTGCACACGAGTTATTAATTCTGCCTTTCGTCGAATTATTGCTTTCAAAATACGCATTGTCTTAGGATGAACAGAAGGATCTAATAAATTCGCAAATATCGTGCTTTGGGTACTTTCCCTTAAGAAAGAAAAATGCGCAAGAGCGTTTCTGAATAAATGACGTAAATGAATTTAAAGATCAATCAATTAAGATATACATATAGTCTGTCAGAATTGATTTTACGCTCTCTTTCCTAAACGTAATTTTCATATTCATTTTGATTTTCCTGCCTTCCCATTTCAGATCCTCGAGTCTTTCCAGCTTTCCTTCGAAAGAAAAAGAAAAATGCCGGGACGATCTTTCAATCGGAATTAATGCCCCTTTTATCTTTTGTCAATACTGTTCCTTTGATACTTCGAAGCACCCAGTATATTATATATACGGTAGGTTCGAGAGACGGGATATTGGATAATGTCCGAGCGGGGAGGTTATGTTGGAGACAGGTGCGCGACGGGCGTTTCTTCTCCGTAGGGAGGAATCCGGAGAACGAAGTGTTAACGAAGTAACGTACATCGCGTAACGTGTACTCCTAAGATCCTCGATCGAGACGAGGAAAACGATCACGAGCGATTCCAGCAACGGACGACGACGAGGCAATGTCGTCGCGACGCACATTCGTCAACTGCGACCTCGAGGAAGGCTAAATGTCAGCAATTACGTACGTTAAAGTTGATACTTGCATTATGAGCGACGACTTTATCGAACAATTCGCACAGCGTTTTAAATTGGCTTTGAAAAACATCTAGTTTATTAACTGGTTAAGTTGCTAAAATTACGTTTGAAACAGCACATTTGTGACCAATTGATTGACTAATTGATTCTAAAAACTAAGTTGACACGTGTACACATACGAGGGTTATTTTTTTTTACCTCTGATGAACTGGGAAAGAAAAACAAAGTGATGAGTAAAGAAGGTTTTAATACACAAGTTAGGAGGTACTTACTTATGCTACTTCTCTACGTAATTGCTATCTTGATTGAGGCATTTATCATAATGTGGCATCAGCTTTGTATCCCCTCCTCATAGGTAATTGCTGCCTGACCTTTTTTTTATCACAATGTCGTGAAGAGCTGAATAAGAATGTGTTGATGTGTATGGAGAGAACACCTTGCACATTAATCAGCTCTTTATGATATTGTTACAGAAAAGACCAGGTAGCAGTTTATGAAGGGATATAACGTGGTGCCACGTTCTGACAAGTGTTTCAGTCGGAGTGGCAATTATATGGAGAAGTAGCATAAGTATGTACCTGACTTATGTGTGTATTAAAACTTTTTTTCACTGTTGTAATAACCCTTGCATATAGATAATAATAAAAAAAAAAATAACTACAAGAGATAATAAAAATCTTTTGCATTTTTGAAATAAACATGCATTGAATTTTTATTAACAAATGACAACTGACGTTTTAACTGTTACTTCTAGATAATACTTATTTTGGCTTCCCGAAGCCAATGGATGCAATCATGTAGAGTCTAGAAGTAGAAAAGGGAAAGATGACGCCTCATTTTACAACGCTGACTCCAGTGCGAAAGCGATGTCTAATCGTGCTGTTGCTAGTCTTGGTTCCGTGCGCGATCTTGAATCTGCTGACGCCGTCGGACATGCGCGATGAAGCCATACTGCAGAACAGCATCGCCGAACTGCAGGCCAAACTGGAGCATTTGCATGCCAAATACATTGGCAGTCAGGAAGAAATAAACTTGTTGTCGCATCAGTTGCTACAGCTGATTGAGAGCAATCACATTCTGCCTGATCTGCAGCTGCTCATCAACAACGGCACCTCCAATGTCACCAACATCAAGCTGCCTTCGATCTACAATTTTCTACCGCATTTCCTTAATGATCCGAATAGCCTGCGTCCGGCGTTTGTGCAAAGCAAAGGTAGATCGGGAGTAAGCATGGTGCTGGGAGTACCGACGGTGAAACGTGAGGTTCAGTCTTATCTTATGGCGACTTTGAAAAATCTGCTGGATCGTATGAACACTGCAGAAATCGCTGACACCCTGATTATCGTTTTAGTGGCTGAAGTGAGTAGATTCGCTAATTATAATAGAGCATCGATACCATTTGCATTTCAAGGCACATTGAATTGATGAATTCACAAAGTTATATAAATATACATGTACATTTTTTTTGCAGACAGACACCGATTATGTGACATATGTTGCGAAGCAAATTGAAGTTCAGTAGGTTCATGAAATCATATTTTTATCTTATTCACTATTATACTTGCATCAACTGACATTTTTGTCTCATTCTTTCTTATGGCTGTATCAATAAAGACTTTTTTATAATAACAAACTTCTTTTTATTTTAGATTTCCAAATGAATGCGAAGCTGGAGTGATTGACGTGATATCACCATCATCATCATACTACCCAGATTTATCAAAATTGCGCGACACTCTTGGTGACGATCATCAACGTGTCGTTTGGCGGTCCAAGCAGAATTTAGATTTTGCTTTTCTTATGTCTTACGCCCAGACTAAGGGCACGTTCTATATACAATTAGAAGATGATATTTTAGCCAAGAAGAATTTTATAACTACTATGAAATCGTTCGCATTACAGAAAATTGGCACAAAGGAGAATTGGTTTGTCCTCGATTTCTGTCAGCTCGGTTTTATTGGTATGGCATTGTGTACTATACAGTGATAATATATATACATATATTGAAGGGATATTTTTTAAGTTCTGTTAATATTATAGGAAAACTATTCAAATGCGTGGAACTTCCCTGGCTGATTCAATTCTTTTTAATGTTCCACAATGACAAGCCCGTTGATTGGCTATTGGACCATTTGATATCGACAAAAGTCTGCAGTCTTGATAAGGACAGTGTAAGTGTTAATGACGATAGCCAAATAGGCTCTTAAAAAAAATACATTTGATCTTTTAAAGGAATCTATTTTTATCCCGACAGAAACATTGCAAAATGGCTAAAGCAGAGTTGTGGGTGCATTATAAACCTTCTCTCTTTCAACACATAGGGACGCATTCCTCCTTGAAGGGAAAAGTGCAGAAACTCAAGGTAATGTCAAGTGTATCCTATCTACTAGTTTACTAAAAAAAAAAATAGATACGAACAATGTGACTGAATATAAAATAATGTCTTAAATTACATTTGCAGGACAAACAATTTGGCAAGATAACGCTATTTTACGCTCACGAGAATCCTGAGGCAACTGTGGAGACTCAAATCAAGCCTTACAAACAGTACACACTACAAAAAGCATACAAAGGCGAGTCGTTCTTTTGGGGCTTGCTACCTCAACCGGGAGACCATCTAAAGTTTAAATTTTCACGTCCTATTTTTATAAAGAAGTAAGTTGCTGTTTGTATGATTGCTGATCCTTTTACTTTGGAAAATCATTACTGTTTTGGTGTGCAGGTACTTATTCAGGAGTGGAAATCCTGAACACCCGTCTGATAGATTTTACAATACGACGGTAGAAGTATTGTCCGAGATGTCTCCGTTGTTGGATAGAAACAGCAACGATGTGACGGAGGATGGTTATATTATTATAGGTAATAAAAAATTGTACATATATCATATAATTTAATCATTCGAGAGATTGTTAGAAAAAAAAATACATGTCTCAGGTAAGTTTGATGTACTTGGTGTCGCCGAAGGGACCGTGGATCGAAAACTGGGCAAGGTGTCGGTGCTTCGTTTAACTATACACAGTGAAAGCGAAAACTGGGCCATTCTGTCCGAGGTAAAAATTCCCGATAATAGATTAAGATTGTAATATTAATTCTCTCTTCTGCCCTAAAGATATAATTTCTTAATTAGATTCACATAATAGAGGATCAGCCAAGCTGACTAAAAAACGGAGATTCTCGAATGCTCTTTCGGTACCGCCTGCACGGTTAGCATAAGCGACTGATTTTACAAATATTTATTAATTTATATATATTTTTTATTTTGCTGTCATGTTATTATGTTGAGTGGATCAGTTGTTAATTCAATGCCGTCCATTACGAAGAGATAAATATGTTTTAACGAATATGTTTATATAATTGAAGCCAGCCTTTAGGTCGGTCGAGCATTTTGTATAGTTTTTTTTCCCCAGTATTTTTTGACGTTAAAGCGCAAAAATTAGGTGATAATGTAATGGATTTACCTCTGCTATTTTGTGAATTATATTCGGTTTACAAGTAATGGCATATTGTTGAGCCTGGAACTATATAGCGGTTTTTTTTTCTCTCTGTAAGATCGTGTTTAATTTGGGAAATTAACTGAACTGTACCTGTTGTCTGCGTGTATTCGCTCTCGATGTTCGCTACTAATTCACTCGCGTGTAAATCCTTTCGCATGCAACTTTATGGTTCACATTGAGATAAAAAAGAGAAAAACCCTTCAATTCGTATTGCTATAATTGTCAAACATGCGACGCGATGATGTCGACTCATCATGGTTGTTCGACAAACAAACGGTGATATGAAGACTATATTCTTCTAATGTACGAACAATTATTTATTTCGCGTAGCTTTATATATGTATATATATATATATACTGTCTGTCTGTATGCTCCTATACATATATCAATAATAATAAAAATATATTTTTGTGACAAACATTGTATATCAAAGTCGACGATACATTATATATTTTATCTTGCAGTCTGTATACAATGAAATTTATTAACTGGGAATATAAAAAAAGAATAATCCTACTGTGTTAATATATTATTTGACATGGCATTAAGTTTGTAAAAACGAGATAAGTAGAGACTATTCATTATGGTAATAATGCTTCAGTCAAGTGTCTAGCTTATATTCTCAGAGAAACCAACGCCCTATATGGTTTAGGACCAGCCGTGACACCGTCCACAAAGTCTTGCGTGGTCGGTCGTGGCTCACCAGGTACCACCGAGAAGCTAAACGTCTGTAACAGCGTGGCGATTATGATGAAAATATTGCTCCTAGCTAATACCTCTCCCATACAACGGTGTCTGCCTGTAAGATGTAAATCATTTCGCACTCACGATCGAACTTATGAATTTCTGATTACAAGTTTTATCGTAATATATATACAAAGAAAGCAACGTACCGATGCCAAAAGGAAAATATTTTTCTGGCGTAATGATATTGCCGTCGTTGTCGAGGAATCTCTCCGGTCGGAAATCCTCCGGGTCGTCCCAGGATTCGTCCATGAGTATTCTATTGTAATTTACAACGAGCATCGTGTCCTGAAAAAGACGATATACACATATTTTACATATGTCATACATATCACCCAAAATACAATCATACGTTTATTTTATTGATTTATAAAATATTAAATCTTTTATAATTACCTTTGGTATCTTGTGACCCACGATAGAAGTGTCTTTTAACGCTCTGTGCGGAACATTCAAAGTACGACCCACGAATACTCTTATGGACTCCAGAACAATGGCTTGAACATACGGCATTCTGAGAATGAGGATATAATTAATATTCGGTACGAAAAAATTTCTTCCGCAATTATAGAAATTGAAAGTGATCAACGACGTTTACCTTGGTTTGTCGGCCAACGTGGGAAATCTGTCACGGCCAATAACTCTATCTATTTCTTCGTGTGCCTTCTTTTGAACTTGCGGGTACAGTATTAGATTTAAAAATCCAAATCCAAGTGCCTTTGAAGTTGTCTCGGAGCCTGCTATGAAAAGATCTACACAGATCGCCAATAACTGGGATTCTGAAATTATTTCAGAAATTATTGTGTAAAACCGTTATTTAGTAATAATAATGTTATTCGTAAGTCGTATGCTTTGAAATACCTGAAAATGTATCGCTGCAGTCTCTCGAATTTAGTACAGTTAGATAAACGTCCATCAAGTCTCGTGGGGCATCCGATAAAAATGTGTTTTTATGATTGTACAATTCCTCCTAAAATAGAAATAATTAATTCTCAATCATTATTTATCCAGGACATCCAGACGCTTGTTCATAAAATGATCTAGTAATACACTTATGTGATAATACAATGTCCACTCACTTTTAAAAATGCCCACAGTTCTTGATGCGTTTCTACAAACGCTTTATAACCGGACCATTCCGGCGCAATAAAACGTAGCAATGGAAAATGACTGAAAGGCGCGCCGATTATGTCGATTTCTTTCAGAAGCTTTGTGAGGATTTGCTGTAAGTGCGTAAGTTCCTTGTCACCAGTATCGTACCTGTAAAAATAAGGAATTATCAGGATATTACATCAAGAATTGAATCTTTATATGTTTTTTAGATTCTAGACATTTTGCGGAAGAGTAGGAACAATTCGCGTGATTAATGCAAACCTTCTTCCAGCCATCATTCTCCAAAGGGTGTTCAATACAGTGACACCAAAAGCGTCGTGCATAGGTATGATCATTCCTGCAGACTGAGAGACTTTTCTGACTTCCGCGTAGTCTTCGGCTTTCATGTACAAATCCGCCACTGTACGAGGTTTACGATCAAAGATCCTATCCTTGATTACATTGAACTCGTCGTACAGCTTCAATCTGTTCAGTTTGTTCTTCGGATCTTTCTGCAGCTTGTATATCTGGCCGATATTATTGTTGTTATTTATCGTCGTCATCTTTCGCACATCAGCCATTTCATAATTATAGCCGTTTTGTAGCAGCTTCTTGAAATGTTCCACGAGCTTCAACGCCTCATCCTCGATGATCGTGACCATACTGGTGCGACCGAAGCCAAATTCTCGCAAGTGTCGCAAGACAAATCGCCGTTGCTCCACCCACAGTCTATCATCCACTACAATGAGACCTGGCCGCAAATTATTATCTAATTAGCTTTCAAAATTCAACAAGTATATTTTTCATTTTATTTGTTTTCCGGACAGGTATAGTTACCCAGTCTGACGCCCCAAGTTCTGGCCTTGTAAAACGGTCCGGTCGGTCTGCCATCGCAATCCTCGTTGGTCAGCATCGCCCGTATGCTCTCCATATCGTTCAGAACAACGATGCGGTCTTGGCCGATCTTTAGGCCTACCACAGGACCATATTTCTTGCAGAGCGCCGAACAGGTCTTGAAGAGATATCCGGTCTCTTGACGGATACGCGCTATTTCCAACGCGCAGCCCAGAACGGGCCACCATCTTGGACCTAAAGAAAATAAAAAATATTAACAATATAATAAAAAAAAGGAATTTTTTTATCTGGAAAAGAGGAATCAATTTCTACCTGGTGGGTATCCTTTCGGTTTTTGACAGCCCAAGTATAGCAACAGCAGTACGAGCACCAGCAATAACATCGCTGTGGTGAGCATTTTATAAATCTAATCTGTATCTAATCTGTAACATATTAATAATGTAATAAATATTAAGAGAAGATAAAACTACTATGTAAACTATGTACTTTATATTTTTCTTTCTAATTTTATATTTGATATACATAATATATAGAGTTTACATAAAACTAACAACTAACACGTGCGTTATTTTCTATTTAGCGCTATTTAGCTTAGTTTCTACAAAATGAACATAAAAATAATATAAAAAGGAACGAAGAAAAAGAAAAGAAACATCTAAAAATGTATTCAGTAATTACGAAACGAATTTATATATTTGTGAAAAATATGGGTTTCAGGAAATACGTTTCTCCCAATTTTTTTCCAATCCGCTTTTGCTTTTACGAGGAATTAAATTTGTGCAATTAATGTTTGTATCCATATATATTTATATTCTGACCGGATATGCACGCACACATACATGCGTGTATTGAACGTCAAACGAGTTTCGGAGAAGAAAGTGAAACACTTGTCGTACTCTCGTATAAGAGAAAGTTGCATACGGAAGAATCGCTGCGTTACTTGCGCAAATGCGCCGTCACCCTTATTATCCCATAGTTGGTTGCGTAATCAATGTATATTTTCGCACTTTTATCGCAAGACTACTCATCGTGACCGCTTTCGAATTTTTATTTTTCAATTCCATTCACTTCGGAATTCAAGTTTACATCTCTCGACGCATTTGGAGTATCATTATTATAATAATAACACACCGATTCTTTGTGTAATTATTACAGACACTGCCCTGCAAACACCATCATTTCCTACTCAACAATGTAAATGCAATATAACACATATGTATCATATTGGATTTACATTGTTGAGTAGGAAATTGTAACTTGCATGCAAGTTGCATGTTTACTTGGTATTTGCTGGGTTGCATGTATATTCCAACTTACATATTTTACATTTTATTTATAAATTATATACAAAAGTTGCAATCCTTTTTTTCAAATTGTAATCGTCTTCAAAAATTAATTGAAATACAAAACGCACATTATCCTGTAATATTATTAAAATACTATATCAAATAAGTTTAGAAAGAAAAACGTAAAATATTTTTTAAATATTGTTGAATATTTTTAAATCAATAACAAAAGTAACAGCGAATTTAACGATATAATATCTCGTCCTTACAATATCTATTATTTTCTCGGGCAGTAGTGAATTTTGTAAATTATAAAAATTATCAAATCAATAAATAGTTTTGTGTCAGACAAATACAGAAAATTACGTAATGTGATCGTTATTTTACTAAAGGTACCGCAAAAAAAGACTTTAACACCACGGCAGAATTGGTAGAGGAGAATCGGCTCTTCCTCTATCTCGAACTTTAAATTTACCTTACCTTGTACCTGGAGAAATTTTCTGGTCCGTTGTATAAGCGGTACTGGCCGTGGACCAGCGTCCGGACCGCTTTTAAATGCCCCTCTTCATCCCATACACGCCTCGCAAGACCGATACGTTAGCATCAACATCATATATCGGTGGGCCTTTAATTGACGTCCGAAACAGGAAAGTGACAAACATTGTGGTGAGATTCTGCACAACATCTCAGCGATATATATGTATATATATATGTACAATTTAATACAGCGCAAACAAACTTAAACTTTTTATTTTAAAATAATTAAAGCCTCAACATGTAAAAACAAAGAAATGAGAATTCTGTATATTAATAGAATTATATATTTTTTTCATTATAAATATATAGATTATTATTTACAATCTCCCCAAAGTCAACATTTTTATTGTTTATGCTTTTTTCGGATCTTTACGTCTATTTAACAAGGTTTAAGGAACAACGTGTATATACGTACATTAAAAGAAAAGAGTTAAAAACGTTTAATAAAATTTTATTTCCTTATTCTAAGTATTTTCATTTTTAATAGTTGTTTCACAAGTGGCTGTTTCACAAACTGTTTCATCTCTTTCTAGACTCTCTTGCTGTTGTTCGTAATGCAGAGGTAATCTGTCGCCCCATTCACTCTCTCTCGCACAACGGTACATGTGCCTGGCAATGATGGAAAAGATATTTACAATCACATAATCATATAATCGAACGCAATTTAATAGATACGTACTTCCCATGCTTGTATTTTGTAAATATCTCCTCCTTCAGCTCGCCGTTAGCCATACACATGCGACAGATTGCGTGATTAGAACGTTTTAGTGCGGCTCGCACGATTCTTGGCCACTGCTCGTCGTCCTCGGGACGTTTGCCTGTGAAAAGAAGTTGATTATGAAAATTTTGCATCTTTGTATTGAAAACCATATTAAAGATATTAAACAAGGTAACACTTCGATAAAACTCTCATTAATTAATGTCAATGTATAACTTTCATTACGTTTTTCTAATAACGTGATTGAAATAACAATTTTGTCTCTCTCTCTCTCTGTCACTTTTATTTTCCACTCTTACTTACTTTTTTTTAACACGACGTAGGAATACAGTTCTTGTTTGTGTTGCCGACCACCCAGAAATTGCAACGGGTGATATAGAACGCTAAAGTTGCACGGAGTATTGTCGGTGGCAAATCTCGGACACTTCAGATCATGTGGACACTAAATTGCGACAATAATATAAGATACATAATTGATGCACCATGTTTGAAGTCCTTACCTAATCGGTACTTACAGGTGAGAAAACATGGGCAAATTGTGGCTCACGTCTACGTTTCGAGTTTGTGTACTTGAGAATAAAATCCCGTGCTTCATTTACTAACTTTCAAAAAAGAAAGAGCAAGAATGAGAGAATTTTACACTATTACATATATTATATACAGGGTAAGGAAAAAATATGAAAACCTTGAAAAATTTCGAAGTAAAATCCCATATTGTAGTATATAGTTTATAGTTAGAAAGAGCATAAAGTAAGAACAATTTTGGCGCAAACCAGAGGTCGATACGTTGATCCATTCGAAAGTTATTTAGGATCAAACTTCGAAAAAGCCAATTTTTGACCCCAAATAACTCCCAAATGGGTCAACATATCAACCTCTGGTTTTTTCTTATTTTATGCCCTTTCAAATGATATACTACAATATAGGAAGTTTCATTTAAAAAATTCAAGGTAACTTTGTCTTGACCTTGGCGACGCCATCTAAACTGATAAGATCAATAAATAAATCTTTTTAAATCCCACAACTTTTATCCGAAACAATTTTCTGTAAAACTTATATTTTTCGAAATTTTTCAGGGTTTCCATACTTTTTCCTCACTCTATATATATAGAAAGTAAAATTATCAACCACTCTCTTACTTTGAAACCTGCATTGGTTCCTTCTTCCACAATAATCAGATAATTGTTAGTCTTTGTCCAAAGCTTTAATATCGTATCGAGGCGCGATTCCATACCCGGTAACTCGAACAAAGAGTACGCGCTCACTACGATATCGTAAGTTCGCTAAACATAATAAAGACACATCAAATTATATTTTGTCAACAAAAATTTTAATGCGTATAACATTTTACGTTATCCTTACGCTCGTGGAGATAGGAAAATATTGGCGATAGAAAACTTCATTGATCTTAGGCTGGGCAGCTTTCGCTAATCTTTCCGACAGTTCAATCATGAATTCCGATGCGTCAACACAAAAGTATTCTTTTAACGTACTCGACCAGATCTCAGATGCCGCCCTATGGAATTTTTCTTTTTTAATTTTTTCTTAACATTATATTAACCGATCTCGTTTTAGGTTTTTTAAATCAGTCGCAATAAATAATTTTTTATATTTACCACGCGACTGTGCCGACACCAGAGCCAAAGTCAAACAATGTCTTAGGCCTAAAATCCTTGTCGCGCGATTTGATTTCGTTGAGAATCTTACGCGAAACCGCATAATTCTGAACACCTTTAGCGACCAGATACGTTAGGCAAGTGAATTTATCAAAATTTATCGGTTGCCAATTATAAACATTTTGCTTCAAAATCAATCTGGCTTTTGCATCTTTATGGAAATCTATATCCTCTACCGATATCTTCTCATGAGGATTCATAGCATTTAAACGTTCCTCTACTTTCAGGAATTTTGCCGGTAACTCGAATTGTTCTAATGGTGGACGACGATGATTCAAGTGACGGAGTAAATGCTTTGCACTCTCATTAATTTCCTTCAGGACTATTTTCTTCTCTACGAATAAGTATTAGAAATTCATAGTTGACAGTGAAGTATTTTAAACATAAAAACCAAAAACATATCTGTACCTGAGAAGTAAAAGATCGTATATCTATTTTTGAACATAGGTTTAAAGTTTTAAATAGAGAAATAATAAATTTTTTTAGATATAAAATAAAAGTAGCAACTTGATGTATTAAGTTTTTAATGAAGTATCTTAACTGACATGTTTAATAGTGCAATTGTCAATAACATGCCTGATTTAAAAATTAGACATTATAAAAATTTTCAACAGGACTTTTTTTTAAACATTTTTGTATCTTAGGAACTATAGTAACACTAGACGCATTATACAATTTAAGCTTCTGTTATATTGAAAAGTGTATTAACTCCATTTTGACAAAAACTTGAGAAAGAATCTTTTACCTCTAAGGTATAGGATATATAACATATACCTTTTAAAATACTGTGTATTTCCTTTAATGCCCACTTTGGAAATATTGGTGTTCTAGGAACAACGACACCTGGATGACGCCTATATTTTATTTCATCGTTAGAGAGTAAAGTAGACACTGTATCGTCAAGTACAGCTGTTGGTTTTGCTGAAAACTGAATGCAGGTCTAATGTCAAAGTTAATCCTTTTAAATACGTATAAATTCAATTTACAGGCATCAAATATCATACTTACACATCGCAAAGATGCGAATCTTGTACAGTGCGCTCTTGATACAATTAACTTCATACTTGCAGTAAGAAATTACGATTACAATCTAACAGTCAGCAATCGACAAGGACAACAGTTTGCATTCCCCAGTTTATTTCTTGAATACTTGAATACCTGTGCGGAAACAAGAACAAGAGAGTGTATTTTAAATCTACGTGCGACATTTATTACGACATTTATAATACCACGTGGATCGCAAATTGTTTGCGATGTGTTATAACCTTCAAGGGAAATTTTCGTCATTTTCTGACATAGATAAGAGTGTATAAAAGTATAAAAACAATTTGTAATTTCTCGCAAGCGTACGAGAAATTCTTGGCTTGCGCCAAGTTTGTAGAGAAACCGCGCGTAGGTTATGACGCGACATAACCTGCAAGTACCTGCGAAACATGCGTCATCCGGCGAATCTGAGGCTTTAAAAATAATTCGCTGCAATCTTACTCGCGCGTATGTCAATTCGAGTGTCGCGTTTACGCGAGACCGTCGTGTGACCGCTGACACGACGCGGTCTTCCTTCTCTTCCACCTTTTCCTCCTCACCATGAAATTTGCGGAACACCTGAGCGCTCACATCACACCGGAATGGAGAAAGCAGTACATCAACTACGAGGTGCGCTGTCAACATTGAAAAAATATGATATTTATATTTTTCACTGCGTACATATTTTGCCTACATGCGTCTTTTAAATTGTGTATGTACAATACAATTATCTTTGTTATTCGGAAGATTGCTCACTCTCTTCTCATTTTTCAACATTGAAAAATACGATATTTATATTTTTCTCCACATACATATTTTGCACACATGCATCTTTTGTATTTTATAATACAATTTTGTATAATGCAATTATCTTTGTTATCTAGAAGATTGCTCATCTTTCTTTATCTTACTTACCTCTCTCTCCTCATTTCTCAACATTTATTGTCTTAGATATTTGCAAGAAGTTCACATTTTATGTCATGTGATTATATACAGGAAATGAAGGCTCTGCTGTATGCCGCAGTAGAGCAAGCACCGTCGGCAGATGTAAGCGAGCCATATATTTTAGACAGCTTCTACGGCAAGTTTGACGAGAAGTTTTTCCACTATTGTGATAAGGAACTGGCAAAAATAAATACCTTCTACTCTGGTAAGATCAATTAACACTTATCTTTCTCTATAAAAAGATATTAATATAATAGCTATCCAGTAAGCATATTGGTAACAGATTTGATCAGATATGTCAGCAGACTGACATGAACTATTACATCCACATTCAGCTTATGTTCTGCCAGCAGAGTCTGCTAATATAATTAGGCAGCAGAAACCGTGCAGAGCCTGAATGATTCCTGCAGGATCTGCTTGATTTCTGCCGCTAATTTGCTGTCTGATTATGTTAGCAGACTTTGTATTTTTTATACTTCTGTTAGCCTTTTATCGACATTATGTGATATATCAGAACAAGCATCAAATCTGTAGTCTTTCTACTGACAAAATATTATAGCAGATACTTTGCAAGATCTGCTTTCGACAGACTTGGCTATCTGGGCAATAATAATTATATATAACTAAATATGAGATGAATAACAACCATGTTTTGTTTTCAGAAAAGCTGGCGGAAGCTACACGCAGATACGCCACACTTAACAACGAGTTGAGCGAAATTTTGTCGGTTTCCGATGATGTCCAGAGTCGTAAGGCACGCTATCGCAGTCACATTCTTCACAAGAAGCCAATATCGGCGCGCAAACTTCAAGAGCTAAAACTGGCCTTCTCTGAGTTCTACCTCTTCCTCATTCTGCTCCAAAATTATCAGGATTTGAATTTCACTGGATTCCGAAAAATTTTAAAGAAACATGACAAAGTACATAGATTCAGTTGACTTTACACTTTATGAATATAATTAATTTAAATGCACAGAGTAAAGAAATTAAAGAAACTGTGCGAACTCTATATGATCGGGACATACAAACAATTAAATATTAGGAGATATATACAAGGTAATGATATTTTGTAGCTTTTGAACGTGGACTTTGGTGGCAAATGGCGTGCGGAACATGTTGATACGGCGATTTTCCATACGCGCAAGGATATAGATAGACTGATCGCGGAGACCGAGGCTGTAGTCACTCGAGATCTAGAGCACGGCGATCGTCAAAGAGCTATGAAGCGACTCAGAGTGCCACCGCTTGGAGAGCACCTCTCTCCATGGATCACATTTAAAGTCGGCCTTTTTTCCGGCGCTTTCGTCATACTTTTTGTAGCTGTGATATTATCTGGTAAGCAGAATGAATATTTTTTTTGTTTTATTTGCATTATATTGACTTTGCTTTTTCAGCTATGCGATATAACAAGAAGGATAACTGGAAGGTACTGTGTCGAATTTATCGAGGACCACTCCTTCTGACAGAATTCCTCTTTTTAATGGGAATCAACGTTTATGGCTGGAGATCTTCTGGCGTGAATCATGTGCTGATATTCGAACTTGACCCACGCAATCATTTGTCAGAACAGGTTTTATGATGAATAAAATCAATATTTTATAGATCGCAATTGTAGTGAGATGTGATTAGCTTTAAAGCACTAACAGGATTTATTAATGCGTTCTAAAAGTTTCTTTAAATAGTCGTCGAGACATTAATTTATTCAGCCATTATAAATAAAATTTACTAATAACTAATTATTAGTAATTGGTATGACATTACGCCATTCGGTTTTATACGATATATTAATATAAATATATTAATATAAATATATTAATATAAACATATATTAATATAAATATATTAATTTTAATTGGTAATTTCGAATTATTTTATAATTAAGAATAAATTGTTGGTATCACGAATTTCATGCATTTACTTTCAGCACATCATCGAAATGGCAACCATACTCGGCCTGGTCTGGTCCATGTCTATCCTGGGTTTCCTATATAGCGACACGTTGGGTATACCACCGTTTGTTCAACCAGTAAGATTATGCATGTTTCCATAAGTCTCTATATTAGAATTTTTACGTGTTTTTTTTGCGAGAAATCTACTTTAAGGCGACAAATAATCGATCTTTCACGATGTAAGAAAGTTTTTTATCCCAAGGAATTGATTGCAGTTTTTTGCAGATGTTGTTTTATACGCTGTTGGCACTGTTCCTGTTCAATCCCACCAAGACTCTGCGACACGAGGCGAGATTCTGGACGCTACGCGTTCTGGGTCGCGTCTTCTGCGCACCGTTTTTTTATGTGGGCTTCGCGGATTTCTGGCTCGCTGATCAGCTCAATTCTCTTCACACAGTCTTCCTAGACTTTCAGTATTTTGTCTGTTTCTATATCCAGAACAATTCTTGGACCGACGTTACAGGTCAGTAATTAGCTAGATGCAACGAATCATTTATGCTAACATGGTAACATTTTCATCATGAGCGTTTTTACTTCTCGTTACGTTATATTAGATCTGTATTTATATCTCTAATCAGTATTCGACATCTGATATTTTAGATACGGAAACCTGCATAATGCGTGAACTATCGATGAGACCGTTTGTGGTATGTTTACCGGCATGGTTTCGATTTGCACAATGCCTTAGGCGTTATCGAGATACGAAGGAAACCTTTCCACATCTGTTAAACGCAGTTAAATACGCAACAAGCTTCTTTGTGGTTATTTTCTCTTACCTGCACTTAACAAACAAGAGTAAGATCCTTGCTCAGTTAGCGTATAAAGTTAAATATTGTCTGTTTCTCAACCAAATTGGCTGTTCCAAAATAGAGTACTACCCATTATCTACTGAGAATCCCTACTTTTACCTATGGCTGACAGTCAGTGTGGTGAGTTCCTGTTTTACGTACACGTGGGATGTAAAATTGGATTGGGGTCTCTTCGACAACAGTGCTGGAGAAAACAAATTCCTCAGAGAAGAGATAGTTTATTCGTCACCTGTACGTTTTTTCTGTAATATATTTTGTTATATTACACATAACAAAATTAGTAATATTAATGACAACTAATGTATTAATTGCTTATTTGACTGATAATTTATTGCAGTTTTTTTTATTTTGTAGTATTATTACTATTTTGCAATGGTCGAAGATTTTATCTTGCGATTTGGATGGGCGTTTTCTTTGTCTCTGACAGAGATGGGATACATTCACGCCGACCTTATGATTTCTATAGTTGCTCCTTTAGAAGTCTTCAGGTAAATATATGCCTTTATTCGTGTTTTAATCTTGAATGCACGTGGAATATGTTAAAATTGATGTGAAAAATATTTGTTGAAATAGTATTAGTTTGATAAATGCAAGTTGTCGATTTTTATCGTTGTTTCATTATGCTTGATAAAGCATTAATATTTAAGTTTATGGTTTGCACGCACTATATGCACATGAGCCTCAATTATATGTCAATACTTTAAAAAGTAAAACTCGTATTGTTTCTTTATTTTTCAATTTATAATAAATTGAAGAAAATAAAATTATTTTTAAATTTGGACTCTAGATTGACTAAATCTAAAATATTGACATATAACTAAGAATCAATTACTCGCGTTACTCAAAATTCTCTCCAGTGATTCTACGTTAATGTTTGCACTCTGTATAGTAATGAAATAATTGATCGTCGAAAGTCAAAAGCAGCGACTTAATCGACGATAGACCGGCCAATCTAATCGCTTATCAATGTGCCTTACTAATAAGTCGCTAGAAGGTTCATGTGGAATTACTTTCGACTGGAGAACGAGCATCTATACAACGTAGGCAAGTTCCGAGCGGTACGAGATATCTCCATAGGGCCCATCAGGCGCGATGAAGACAACCTCAGAAACGTGGTGCGTCTGATGGACAGTGTAAACGAGAATGACGACAACGGGAATGACGATGACAATGATGGATTAATGGAGACCCATGATCACGATGTCTGATATGTTTTATGTAATTTGTTGCTTTATTTTAATTTTTCACTCATGTTTATATATATATATATACATATATATGTATATATATGTACATTTATAACTTCGATATACATATATTTAAAAACTCAACGGAATATCACTAAATTTTTTATTGCACAATTTTGTTTTATTATCGGATGCATTATGACGTACCATTATGCGATTGTTTGTACATACTTGATATGCGAACTTCTTAGTAAATATATATTACAAATATCTATAATGTATATACAATCATTACAATAATTAGAAAAAATTGCGCCACCATTGGTAATAATCTGTATGTTTGCTCGACAGACGTTTCGTGTGGAACTTCTTCCGCTTGGAGAACGAGCATTTGAACAATTGCGGGAAGTTTAGGGCGGTGCGGGACATCTCGGTTGCACCAGTCGACTGCTCGGATCAGACGCAGATATTGCGAATGATGGATGCATCCGACGGCGTAATAAATCGCAGGCGAAAGCAAAATGTGGGCGAAAAGCGCAAGCCGATTCGGTTGCTCGTGAAGGCCGAGTCTTTGATGGACGATTAAGGCGATATGATCATCGATTTGGCATTAAACTTGTATATAGCTAAATCGATTTTTTGTACTGCCTTGTAACTTTAATTTTATTTACATCTATGATGGTTAATTGAACTGACAAAAGCAGAGGATAGAAATATGAAAATTTTGGCATACTTTGGATGAAAGATGCCGAATCGTTATTTATGTGGCATGTAATTAGATATGTTAGTCTATCGATAAAAGATTACGACTATCTATAAATAAATAACAAATCGATATAATTTGCTATCGAAAGCGAAATCTAAAAGTTTCGAAAGAGTTAAAGGGACGAGATTATATCAAACGTTAGAACTGATAGTACTTTTACTTCAATTACTATCTGTACCTCGATTAAATAAATAATTGTTATCAAATAAAACGTTGTGTTTCAAAAGCGATATTCAGGCAGTAAGCATCATCCCCTTACATCCAAACATTTGGATCCAAAATATAAATTAAAAATTGCCTCGATATTGCTACCGATATTTGACAATGTTCTCTTTTTTCTCAATAGCTTTGAAACGTAACAAATCCATCAGCATCTACCGATAGAATATGCAGTTAATAAACTTTGCCATTTTACCGAGTAGGTATATTATGGATTCAGAGAAACGTTTCTACCGACGTTCAGCGAACGAATCAAAGGGTGAACGTCCTAACAGAGTGAATCGGAACCGCGACAATCTTGTAAAACGGAACAATCCTCACATGTGCGGATGCGGGTGTGCAGAATAGTGGGGATACATGGCAGCTGCTTAATGAGACTTAATGCGCCCAATGCTAATCGCCGGTGCGGTACGCTATGACGATAGGAGGAGGAGGAGGAAGAGACGGAGGAGGAAAAAACGCGTCCTCGAGAAATGCGGAGTACTCGCGCAACGTCGGAACAAGACGAAGCCGGTGTGGAAGGGTGGAAGTCGGTGTGGTGGTCGTTATTGATTGAACGCGGAGCCGTGCTAATCGCGCAAGCCCGCCGTCCGCCCTGAATGAAGTGACGTGCTCTCTCGCATATGGAGACGCGAATAGAGGGACGATAAGACCTGTGTGCAAGGCCTTCAACAGCCGACCAGCAGCAGTGACAACGACGACGAGAGGATGCTCCTTTCACGGGGCTGGACTTGGCTGACGTTGATGCCGCTCCTGTTGAGCCTGTCCACCGGCGAGGTCAGCTTTTATCGGGGTGAGTAGAGGTAGAGTCTACGGCCTTAGGCGACAACGTCTCCAGGGGGAATGACACGGAGAAGACCCACTTGTAGCCTTTCGAAAATAATGTTTTATTTTTAATTAGTAAGGACTGTGTGATCGACTGAATGTTGAAATATTTAATCGTTGCGTGTTCCGCGCAAATGTATTCGCTCAATCGGTTTGCAAAGAAAAAAATATGTTAAGGGGAAAGGAATCTTTAACTAGGCTGATCTACATTTTTAAGGATATATACAGAAAAAAAATTGTTTTTCTCTGAACAATATTAATTCAGAATTTTGATGCGGAAAGAACTAAAAAAGCTAAAATTAAAAATAATACGGTACTGATAAGTAATACCACAAACTATTATCGTTATGCTTATGATTCTTTTTTATCGTTAAAAATAGATTATTTTATTTTATTTCAAATCTTATTTGAAATAGAATGAAATGATTTTAGAGTCCTGTTTTTTTTTTCAATTCTTTTAAATAAAAATTCAGTACAATTCAAAGATTTTCAAATATAATATAAAAACGAACTATATAATTTGACTAATTGTATAATATTGTACAATGTCAAGAGATTCCATCCCGACCATCCTTTTATGGTAGGATTGTGTGAATAATGAGCGGAACACGAGAATAATGAACCGGATAATCCGACATAATCGTCCATGGTATTTTTTATTTTCTCAAAACGTAATTAAGAGCTGAAGGTCAACAGTATATAAATTACAGGATTGTTTGTTTGCTCCAACTCCAACTCGATGTGACCGGTTAACACATAATGGTTTTTACAAGTGGAAAATTTTACATACATGCAAACATACACATATAGGGAAACTTAACAAGAGAGCAAACGATTTTTACTGGACAGTGTTATCGTGGAGCGACAGTGTATCTTGGCCGCAGGAAATCCGATTGCGTGCATACGAAAGCGGCAGGAAACTCAGCGATAATAATCCAAGCTGGATACAATTTAGCGGTCACTAATTCACGATGTTGTAGTTCGTGATATTTATTGGATTAAAGCTAATGTACTGACATGTTAAAATTTCCATTGTTCGATACCGAAGGCGACGTTTATATTTGAATTAGTTTCATATTATAGAATAAAGTTGATAATTAGAGAGTTGTAATAATAAGCGCATTGAACGCGGAAACAAACATACGGTTTCTATTTCTTCAAACTGACGTTATGTAGATGCGCTCCCGGAAACGCCAGAGGATGCCGCGCTGAAACACCTGGCCCGCTATTTGGAGACGCATCGTCTGCAGCAGCGTCTTCATCAGTCGCACCTGCCTACGTTCCTGTCGCCGATGCACAAGAAGCACAACAGTCTGGATCGCCTTCCTGAGGAGGAGCGCTTCCTGAAGCTTCTAGCCGAAAGAAAAATCACTCTGGACGACCTGAAGCAGTTTTTCATAAAGAACTTGCTGACGCCTCATTATCGCACGAATAACAATCCGATCAGCGATCAGATCACGGATCGAGAACCGGCGTATCTCCTGTCTTATTACAATCTGGATCTCAAGCGTTTGGCTTACCCCGATGAGAAACAGCTGAATGAAAATGACGACCGTTTTCCTAAAAATATCGGGTACGGGCAAGCTTTCGATATGGACAGAGATGCGATGGAGTCTATGCTAGATACTTTCCGAGAAAAGTACACAGATTTCAATCATGGGGTGAGAACGTTGCATCATGAGGGCGGAAGGGAGGCAGCACCCATGCGTCCGGCAGCAGCAGTGGCATCGGCAACGACCGAGCCAGAATTCACGTATAGGTTCGACGACTCGAATCTCAAGGAGAAGCACCCCTTTGCGGTAAAGCCGAACGATCCCAGATATTACGGCGAGGCATCATTTTCGTCGGGTAAACATTTGTTTCATTCATTAATTTGCCTTTTATCGGAATCCTTTAGAGCGATTTTTTAATCCATTTTGGCGCACACAACTGAAAAAAAATACAGAACTATTGAGAAACCTCTATCTATCTGCACATTCCGTATCTCTCCAATAAAAGGCAAGAAGTTTTTGATATCTTAATTTCAAAAATGTACATACATATAATAATTGAATAACAAATAGAGAAATAAGTAAAAAATATTAAATAATTTTGAAATATATTATTACTTTTTGCCTTTTTCTTTTAGAGAAGCTCAAGGTTATTAGTATACTATTTCAGCATTATATATTTATCACATTTTGTTTCGAATCCAATTTGAAAAACATTACCCTACCCTAGAGTCTTGGAAGGGTCAAATTACGTCAGTCTCTATAAGCATCGATAATTCCTCTGCTTATATTTAACCCTTTCTTTTTTTAAACTTTCCCTTTTTATAGTCACTTTGACTCGTTGATAAGTATAGTTCCTGTCAGCTGCCTTTGCTTTCTGCTTCTTCCTAAAGTTCATGAATGTCATTAAACTTTCTCCAATTTATGCAATTCGTAGATGATTTAGATTGGCAAGACGCGCCGAGAATAAATTGGAAAGAGGAAAAGACTGCGGATAAAGAGCGAATATTGACAAAGCACGAAGACGATATGCGGAACGTCAATCAAGAGACACCGAAGGATTTGGCCGCGAGACTCGACATATCGGAACCGGAAAGATCTGTGGGACGTTATCCGGTGATCGTACCCGTAAATCACGACTTCAACAATGACATTTATTTTATCGGTAAGCAATAAAAGTGAAATGAAATTTGTAAGAAAATTATTCGATTTTGTGAAAATTATTCAATTAAACGTGACGTTTCATACGCGTTTTTCAGCAATTGTGGCTGGTTGCAGTGCAGCTGCGATGTTCGCTTTAGTATTGATTAGCTTAACATGGTGCAGGTAATGCCGATTACACTAATTCGTCGTTTAGTAGCTCGTTTTACAGCGTCTCATTTCCTCGCGGGACCTCATTTTTCAGACTGCAACGCGGTGCGAAAGCTGCAGCGGACATAGAGTATCCTGCTTACGGTGTGACAGGACCGAACAAGGACGTGTCGCCTTCCGGTGACCAGAGGCTCGCCCAGTCCGCCCAGATGTATCACTTCCAACACCAGAAGCAACAAATTATCGCCATGGAAAAGTGAGTTCAAGATCCATGGAAGATATTTGATACAACTGTTAAAAAATAAATATATATTTATCAAAATCCATCATTCATAAAAAAAAAATATTTTATAGGAATAGAATATCTTTTAAGAATAACAAATATCATTTGTTACAGTCGCACTTCTGCAACGAGGGATCCAGGTTCACTCTCGGAAGCGGAGAGCGATGAAGAGAATGAGGAGGGCGACTATACCGTTTACGAATGTCCAGGACTTGCATCTGTGAGTTTCGCAAAATAAGCAATTTCCATCCTCACGCTCAGCGTTTCAATTGTGGATATTGTTATGTGTTAAAGACGGGCGAGATGGAGGTGAAGAACCCGATGTTCCATGACGATCCTACACCGGCGACGCCGGCGGCGCAGAGCAACAAAGAAGAGGACCACATATAGTTCCAATAAAGTAGAGAGTAAAAAAAACCATACGCGCGCGATCTAAAGAAATCTTTCCTGGTGCTTAGCTCACTGTTAATGTACCATATCGGAAACGTTTATCCATTATATTGAGTGTGTATACAACTTTAATATTTATATATGGCGCGATGGGGGGAAGGGGGCGACGCGTTTTACGAGGAAGACGGAAAGAGATGGAAGGGATCGGTTCGGTATCAGAACAACCGACGTCATTTTTCGTTCCGGAAGTAAGAGAACAGAAGACGCTTACCTACATAATAAATGAAATCGGGAGCACGACGAACGGGTCAACATTCAACAAGCGTGCGATTTTATGCGGGTGGATTTAGAAACCTGCGATTTATTGTGGTCGCATCGTCGAATTGGTGAATCGAGTCGATCTTGCGAAACGTCGACGGTGCTTCAAGGAAATTCAATCCTAAAAAAACACCAGTCTTTTTTAGTTATATTACAAGAGATATATATTATAAAAGAAGACGATAGTATTTATATCGTCTTTTTCCCCGCATCAGGGCGACGTCAGGTTTTCCCGTTCATCGAAACGTCACATTGTTTTATCGCGATTTTACGAGCGGAAGTAAACGGAATTCGAATGGGGGAGCGAATTAATCGCCGATCAAAGCCGCGTCTTTGCGAGAACACCCAGTTTTCTAATGTCGTGACGTATTATAGTTTGTACTTTCATAGTAGGAGCAGGTTGTCGCACGATCGCAATTATTTTTCTATGACTTGTCACCGACCACGCATACTTACAGTTCCGATATCTGATCCACACTTGAACAGATATTTGATGTATTCATCGAATACGTCCATCGGATATGCATACTGTGCATGAGCAGCCGATATACCAAAGTCTATCGTCCGAGATTACACTCCTTTGAAAGTAAGAAAAAAAAAGAACTACTATTAATTACCGACTATTAATTTGGGACGGTCTACAGTCATACCGTTATTCGAATCTGTTTGGTTGGACACATGTGAAAAATTATACAGTATTATTGTATAATTACACGATTATATGTCACGAAATCTTAACTCTTATACATCTGTCTTAGCGTATATACAAAGATAAGTACTGTATTAAACCGTGTGTTCCGCAGAATATGTATCTGTTTTACACACATGGGGAACAGAACGTACTAACGGGATTATTTCTATCACAGAGCAAATATCTCCTTTTGGAATTGTAATGAGAGTGTGACGAGCAACATTACGATTTAAATTTGTGCTATATTATATTTCTAGATAGATATATTAAATGACAGATAACGAGTTTCTGGCAAACTCGTTTATAAGTAATTATATACGTTTTACCGAAATCTTTGCTATAATAAAAAATTTCTCAATCTTCTGAAAAAAAAAATTAATTAAAGATTTTAAGCTTTATATTATATTCTCTGATTGCTTACAATGTGTGCTAAGTGGTATCGAGTAGTTTTATGTGAATTGAAATTGTTTGCAAGTATATGTAAAATATATCGTTGCGTTTTGTTATTCCAATCTAAAAAGTAACAGTCTCCAAACTATAATCTTTTGCTTTATGTGATACAAGAAAGTCAATAGCATGATCCATGCAAACATACGAATGAAATTATTAAAGTTTTTTGTTCTTGTGGAAGCGTTTCTTTACGGATAACGATCGGAAATGCGAGGAAACTGTTCTCTCTCGACAGTTGCCGATAGGTAATACACATGTACACGCGCATACACACGTACACATATATATATATACACACACGTATAACATTTGTTGGCTTAAAAGGACAATATATTTTATTTTTCTATGATAATGGTCATTGTTAGCTGTGTAAAGAGAATCTATATCGCTATTAATCCTAAGTCATCAAAACGCAGAGCTACTATATATATTTATTTTAGCGAATGTTAAATGTCTATTTAATGCGAAGATTTGATGCAAAAAGCTATAACGGAGGGATGTATGCCCTCCGTCTTGCGTTGTAGCTGTTACAAAATCCCTTCTCTATTCGCCGTTTATGCTCTAAAACAATACAGGCATGTGGCATAAGATCTCAAAATGGTATAAAGAGTTCTTCCTTTTCCCGAACGCTACCTTTAGTATACATTATTAAGCGATTAGCGTATTTTAGCTGAGATGAGATGTAACAAATATGTTGAAGCATGAATATACGTTTCTAGTCTTGTACTTTGACACTACGCATATATATATATATATATATATATATATATATATATATTATTACACGAGTACATTGAACGCGTATAAGCAGAGAACATCATATGAGAGGACAATCTGCGTACAAATAGACCATTGACGTACAGCGATTTGTAGCATGATTGTGATTGTGCACGCGGTTGTTGTATCTTACTCCGGGGAATAGGAACCCTTTATTTGTCGATTGAATTGATCCTTGATGATTCCATTGAAATTATGCAATCTCGTCCTGCAACACACCGTCAACCTAATTGTATGCGGATTACACGCGACATTATGATTTTCACTTCTATCAATCAAAAGCTAGCGTAAAAGACATATACAAGTTATAGATGAATGTATTATTATTTTATTAATAAATTGTTTATTTTATAAAGTGTCTATATACTTTCATACGTACGCCGCGTGTCGGGAGATGCGAAACAATGTAAAATAAAAAGGAACAAAAGGAAAACGCATAGAGGAAAACGACGCTCCTCTTCGGGCTCGCTATCAGATCCGTGCTCCGGATATTTGAGAGCTCGCTCAGCTCGCTGCGGGACGGGGGCGGGGACCGGGGACGGAGAAGGGGCCAACGTTTACTTGTCACGTCCCTGTACTCCCTGTCTGCCTGTCTCTCTTGCGCATGACGCGAACAATTCCAAAACAGTTCTCGGTCTCATTCCCACTTGTTCCCACTTCGTGGCTTCGTGTTTCGTCAACATTTGGACCTACGACGAACTGCTGTTATGCCCTCGTCGTTCAATCCCGCACTGGATTCATGCTGCATGGGCCGGACCGTTTCGGGCGACGAGTGTCGTTGGGACGTGTCCTCGACGAGAGACGGCGCTCTCGATCTCGACCACGGTCGTATTCACGACCGTGATCTCGACAATTGCGTGTCCTCCGATTCGGAAGACGAGTGGCGGTTCTGGCAGTGGCGGCCGAAGGAGCCGCGGGTGCCGTGGTACCGAAATTTACCGAGCGTCACCATCTTGAGCAACGTCTCGTCTGTCCCGAGGCTCCCAAGTCCACGGGAGTGTGAGAGTGCGTTATCACCATCGACGTCGTCGACCATGTTTCCGACGAGTATTAACGTCGACTCCGAGGAGTATTACTGTTTCCGGGTGAGGGAGAGCATCGGCGAGCCCGGCGTCGAGAACATCGTCATCCCGTGCTCGAGCAACTTCGACCTGGAGAAGCTGCGGACGGAGCTGGTGAGTCGAGAATCTTCTCGCGCTCGAAGGCACGGGGACGATCGCGGTTAGCTAAAAGGTCAAAAGCATCGTGCGTCGAAATATATGTATTACATCATCCGAAGTGATTTCTCAAGGTTTCGTCACGCGTCAGAAGATAGAAAGTATATTGCGATTATATCGACGAGTTCCCGTTATCGAATCACACATTTTTCCGACTTTCCGACTGCTCCATGTACGCGTAAATTATAATAATTGTTGATTACGTGGGCTTTCGTGGTCTGTTGTAGTGGAAGCAGTTTGGCGTGCCAAGGGCTAGACGCATCTCTTACATCGACGACGACGGGGACGACGTTCCAATCGATTCGGAATGCGAGTTTCACGAAGCATTGAAGGTACGCGCTATACATATATAACACCTATATACTGTATACATATATGTATACAATTGTAGTTACATCTCATTTATTCGTGCAACACATTGAAGCAATTAAGCGTATTTGCCTCTTCTTTCGAGATTTCCCCCCCTTTTTTTCTCCCCGATGTGTTTGGGATAAGCTTGGTCCTATCCCAAACACAACAGCGTGTCTCCAACTGATTGCTCCAGTTGTTTGACACAAAACTTCTGATTCCCCCTTATTCTTTCGAGATAATCGACATGAGGTTAGGTACGAACTCAAATACCTTCTTCGGTATTTCCGAAAAATTGTTCGAATTGTCAGGAGAAGATTTGAGAGCAGGTTGCGTGAATTAAATCCGATTCAAATTTCGCGCCCATCTGAAATTGTTTCATCTCCAATCACCGGAAAATCCAATTTTGAAAACTTTTTTTTCCCTTAACATTCGAATTTTTTTCAGCAGTTTATTTCAACCGATTTCTCTTTGAAATTCTTTTTGCCGCAAAATTTGAATTTGATTTAGTTCGTGTAACTTTCCGTCTGATATATTCGTCTGATAACTCTTACGAGTTTCCGATAGATTAACAAATAGAGAGTTATTGAGAAAAATAATGTAATTCATCCGCAGCTTGGATTTTATTAGCTTCTTAATATTTACTATTAGACGGATTTGTGATGAAATTCTATAGAAGAATTATGGAAAGAGAAATAATGTTTAAAGAAATATTAAAATGTCTCAATTTATTATTTATTAGATAAAAATGTATCAAAATTTGAATTAAATTGTAAAAATATAAATCAAATGTGACACCACCTAATACAAATTATTTTATAAAGATTTCTATTTTTTAGAATTAGTTATCGCGAGACTACTTAGTCTTACAGCAATAACTTTGCATTGTGTGCTTCAATCGAAGCTTAAAGATTGCGGAAAAATTGGAGTAAACCATTTCGATTTTTTCTTTTAGCTCGCGAAAAAAGCTTTCGTGGCAAATACGGCGATTCCGTTGATCGTTGGTTCGTTCAACTATGGGCCTATGAGCAGCGACGACGAGCAAGGTTCCGGAACGAACGAGATCTGTTGCCCGAACAAAGAGTCGACAAGTATCAATGACAATCCAATCTTGTCCTTCACTGAAAAGAACGGTGGTTCTACGTCGAAACCGAATCCTGAATTCGACAAACTGAAATGTCCAAACCAGGAAATACTATCGAACCATGAGAAATTGGATGTAAGGCAATATGTTGAATCAGGCGATGAACAGACAGAATCAAAAGATGTGGAAATTCCACAATCAAACGCTTTGTTACGGTGTCATTCAGATACGGTGCCTCCTCCGTGGTTCACCGAGTACATGGATGCGGTAAGTAATATGGATAACTGAATACATATGGATACTGTGTATGCTGAAACGATTAATCTAATTGTTTCGCAGATGAAGAAAGAAATGGTATCTACGATCACACACGAGGTCGTGAAAAACGTGACGGAAGTGCTGAACAAACGTTTGGACTCCCTTGCGCATCCCCCATTGAAGGAACTGGGTCAGTCTCGAAATCAGTCGTATTCTTCTCTCTCGAAGCGACATTCCAGAGGCTCCTTCGACTCGAACGAGAAGAATCAGAAGAGGATGAGGTCTCAAGACGAGGAGCAGTCGAGCGATGCCTCGATCGAGCGCGTGGACGAGCCGCAAAACGTAAACACCGCGGAAGAGCCGCAAACAAAGAAAGATATGATATCCACAATTAGTCAAGAAGTAGTGAAGGAGATGACGGAGATGCTAAACAGAGTTACGTTGGATCTCACGTCTGTTCCTTCAAGGAAGCTCGGTCAATCGCGAAGCCAGTCGCATCTTCCTTCCTCGAAACGATTTCCTCGACACTTCGATTCGCAGTCATGTGAGAAGAATCAGAGGAAGAAGAGGTCTCAGAATGGGGAGCAGTCGAGTGACGCTTCGACGGAGCGTACATATGAGCCGCGAAACACGAGTACCGCGAATACTTCGTGGCAAGACAAGCTACTGCAGAAGAAGTTCGATCTTATGGAAGATAGGATCGCTATTTGTACGAGCAAGTTGAAAGAGGAAAAGAAGAAGAAGCATCATCAACGGCTTGCTCAAGTAACCACCGATAGTCTGAACAACGATATCGGTAAGGAGCAATCTGTTCAGAATAATGCGCGGGAAGAATTTGTCCCTCGGAAGAACCTGCCTTCGCAAGTGGATTCGATACCATACGATGAAACTCCGGGGATATTCGAGAACGAGCTTCGTATGAGCTGCTCCGTCACTGGACATCAGATATTAGATGAAGGTCGTCCCAGGGACATCTGGTACTGCAACAACTCGGATGTCGACAAAACCAGCTTCTGGTCGTGTGATCAAGACGAAGATAGCGACGATGCTTTCGAGATCGTCCAGATACCTGTTTCAGGAGGCAGAAATGAATCATCTACGCGTCCTGAGGAGCCCGCCGTCGAGCAACGACGACACGACAGCAATCGGGACTCGCCCAGCTTCGAGCTCCTGTCCGACCCGCCCTCGCCTACGTCCTTTATGCACTTCAACGAGGAGCATTTTTCGGCGAACGAGGGGAATGCCGAACAGCAATCTTTCGCGAATCCACCGACGAGCTCCATTTATGTGGTAGATATTCACGGCAAGGTCTATAATAAGCATCAATTAGCAGATCTTGACGAGCACGTTAGCGCCGATTTGGAAAAACGACCCGGCGGAGTCTATTCGTTCGTAACGGAGACCTTGCCAGTTCAGGACGCTCCCTGCTCGAAGTCGTCCTGTTCGCGTGCGGAGCAACGACCGAGCGAATGCAAGAAGAACTGTCGAGATGACGTGTGCGACACCCGCGACAACGCGAGCAGCACGTATGACGACGTGAGAAACTCGCATACGAGCTACCTGACCGTGCGGACTCACTGCGATTTGAAGACGCAATGCAGTTGCCAGTCGCAGACTGACTCGAGTGACTTCACGCAGAGCTTCCACTCGCATACCACGTCGGTCACCGACACGACCGACATTTACACCGAGGCTGCCAGCGGCAGCGGTAGGTACGGTGAGCAGCAAGTGCCGACAACAACAGCCAAGAACGTGCGAGAAGCGGCGACGACGACAACTAGAAACGATCACGATGTCGTCGATGGCTGCACGGGACTCTGGACAAACGAAATTTACAACGGTGCGGACAACTATTCGAAGTGCACTTGCAGTTCGCACAGCGGTACTTCGCGATTCTCGGCCGATTCTGCGTACCAGTCCAGTCAAGCGAGTGGACCTTCCGATAGAACGAGCTCTAACGCAGGATCGAGGAAGACATCCGTCGGTGGGGCCCGTCAGACCTCGGACACTGCTGATCCTGTTCATATTCTAAACATTAGTCCGGAAACATTAGTCACTGCAGCTGCCCATGTCGGGTCATACGCTTACGGCACCGCATGCGAGATGTTGGACAAGATACGGGCGCACACGGTGAGCTTTTAAACGTGACATTTGAACGCAAGGACGATACGCTTTCGCGTGCGAATGAGATTGTCACGAAAAAAAAAAAACGATCGTCTGTTTCAGAGAGAGGATTCTGCTAAACGTCGAGGTGGGGCGAAGTGCGATGATAAGAAGCGCTTCTTCGTTGGTCCTCTGTCTTTGTACTAATTAAACTACTAGACACGATCCTTCATTTATAGCTGACATATTGTATCCGAGCAACCACCAAGCTTCAGTTACACATTACGTTTATTATAACTGATGCTAAGTGTTTACCGGAATTATACACTACGCGGGGCTAAATAGATATATTAGGCGATAGGTAAATACGCGGATCGAATTTGCTAGGCTCGAAATGGTATTGTAGTTTGAACGTGTGGCGATCGAAGTATGTGTGCGGCGCGTCTCTTACAACTGGGATTTCTTAGATCACGCAGCGAATAAAGCGAAATTAAGTTTCCTACACCGACGATTGTTAATTGACTCATTGAGAGACACCAAGAATGAATATAGTATATCTCATTGTTAACAGGAAAAAGTTTCAATGATACTAAACCAGTAGAGTAAGTTCGAAAAGAAAGAAACAATTAAAACGCTGATGCACTTTCTATATATACGAGTGATTCTTAATTGCACGCGATAAATAGAAGTAGAAAAATGTCACAAAAACGAACCAAATACATCGTATCAAATATTACGCTGTTTACCGCGTGAAATTTAAGAATCGTTGTGTATGTAGTTATTCGAATTATGCTATGTCATAGAATGTTAGGCTTGCTCGTAGCTGTATGAAATTAAGGAATTATATATACTAAAAACGAACAGACGAAAGTGTAGAGGAGAGAGTGCGACATTGCGAAATAGTTTTAGATTTTGTGGACGAGAGGGTAGGCTGTTTGGAAGGAAAGTATGAAATTCTTTATTACAACCTTTCCGCGTATAGATAATATTAGTAATTAGAGACAGTGACTATATAGATAAATCAGTTGCCCTTATTGTTCTACTTGTATATTTACCGAAATGAAAGGGGATACCGCATTGTTTAGGACTGAATGATCGTTATTAGCTTACATGGACGATTTTGCAAACGCGTCTGAAGAGTTACGGTTCAATTCCGTTAAATGACATCTGGATATCGACGCAGAAGCTAGCACAGGAGTTACCTGCCGATGATCTTGATAAAGAAAAAATAACACAAGTCACCCCTTCGGCACATGCGTTTCGCAAAATGATGTACCAGTGTTCGGCGGTAAGATTCGCACGAAATGTTTAATCAATTTACTGCACTTTCGAAATTCTTATCTTATATGACACGCATTATTACGTTGTGTTAGAGCTTATGGAAATTAGCCGGATTTGCGGAAATAAATGTTATATGAATTATATATACATATATAGTTTACATATAAATATCCACACTCAATTTTGGTTATTTTGGAATTTGAATATACCTCTACATGTTTAGTAATTTTTTAATCTTATAATTTTGTACAATTTAAATAATTCTCGCGTAAAACTGTCGCTAAGTCTATCATCTTTTTTTTTGTGTGTAAAAACATTTGTAAAGTGAAATTTAAAATTAGTATAAAAATATTTATATACAGCTTTCACTTAAAACTACTAATTTCAAATCTTCAATTATATTATTATTATCAACGCAAAATTTTTTTAATACTTCACTATTTAAGCACTTTTGCTCGTTTGTTAAGTTTTTCAATATTTACATTAATTAATTAATTAATTTTTTAATCTCTAAAAATTCCTAGTTTTGTAATAAATTTTTACTATATTGGTTTAAACAGTTTTATCAACAACAATTATACAATTCTAATAATAATTTGCTAGAATTGCTAAAATATTGTAAGAATATAAAAACTATTAAGATTTCTTGTTTATAATCTCTAAAGTTTTAAATATTGTTCCGAAATATAAAATATGCCTCACTCCATGGACTCCCATTCTCTTTACTAGTTGAAATGCATTATGGATTAGCTATTATAAAATGTGTATCTTCAGTCTGTTATAAATTTTGTACGAAAGAAAGAGGAGAAGTGAGATTGTGTGTTAGGAAAAAAGATATTCCTAATATCTTGTCATACTCTCGAGACTAATAGATGCTCGATAGAAACGATAGGAACCCTCGATGCACGAGCAATCATATCCTTCGTACTTTAATAGGCTGCGATACGTGTTTTTACCCTTTGTATAAAGGAACACGTGAGAATTATTATTTCTCTGTCAGTCGACCATCACTTTCATTTTTTATCCTCTTTGTAAGCCAAATTGACGTTCCCCTTTTCTTCTAGGGGTATGGCCCCATCAGTATCTTCTTCCTCTGGTATTTCCACGTATTTGTAGAATATGGTCATTACGGCGAATATCGTTATGACTGCTGCCATCAAAACGGCATATAGGAAAATCTCGTACACCTGCGAAATGAATAAATAAAGAAATTCTGCATGCACTTTACTCGACGCTTAATCAAAAGACGGATCATATGAGATTGAAAGTGAGAAGAATGAATATTAAGTGCAGAGAATTACATGAATTTCCACCGACCGTATAATCGGTCTTGGTCACTTACTTGCCGGTCGAAGGGACGCGCACCCTTTATGATGACCACAATGAGATTGCCGAAGGCCACGCTCAGCAACCAACCGGCCTGCAGTAGAGACTTCATGCTCACTGGCGCCTGAGTAAAGGCGAACTGCAAGCCTGTCACGGAGAACATCACCTCGCCCATCGTGATGATGATGTATTGCGGCAACATCCAGGCCATGTGCAGCGAATTGGGCGGTGTGACCTGCACTGTTTTGCCGGCGATCTTTGACTTAATGTGAGACCCCACCACGGTGTACACCCCACCGAGTTTGAAAGGCACGTTCTCTTCCAGCAGTGTTTCGTCCAGATAGACGTCATATTCACCTGGATCCTCGATTTTTTCTAACTTCGATTGTGAAAATTCTAAACTACTGACCAGAATTGACGTTACTTCCGTCTTGTCCTTACGGAGCAATTTCAATGTGGCGTTACTTAATCCAGGCGAAAGATAGATGAGACTGCGGACCATCGGCTTACCCTTTTCCGGTTTGTCCACCATGTCGGTATAGTTATATTTTAATCCCAAGGGTGTTATAACCCACGACGTTGCATTGGCCTCCGTACCAGTAATTTGTCCTGATAAAAGAAGTTATTTTTAAAATACGGAGATTGCATTTTTCGATATATAAAATCTGAATTCTACCTGAATCAGTTGACCGGGCGATATAGCCTTTATTATAGCATTCTGTGAAATCTGCTTTATAGTCGAGCATTTCAATAGACCCATTTATTGCTTTCACTTCTAGAGTTTCTGATCTACTTACTGGGTATATTTTAATCTGGCCTTGATCTACTATATCTATACTCACGCTACAATCCATTGTATTGAAAATACGGATTTGAGCAGATCCTTTTACCGGTAACGTCGGATACGTGCTCTGGAATCAAGTGCAGAAATTCGGATAAAGCATCACGTTTTTCATATTCCTTACGAAACCTATTGCGTTAATTATTTACATTATGAAATATGTGGTAATTTATAAATAATATATTAAAACTTCCATATCGATTTAAGAGCTTTCGAACAAGCACAGATAGATATAAAATATTTTTAATAACGCGTAGAAAAAAATTCTGTTACTACCTCGATTTGTATTTCAACAATACCAGCTACGATGAAAGCAACACTGGCCAAGAATCCGCCGGCAACGAGCTTTTTCAAGGGTGTATCGATGATATGTATTTTGGCGAAAGCCGGATAGATACAAGTCTCGAAAATTGGTATGAAGATGATGATCAACAGTGGATTGACGGCTTGCAACTGATCGGGCAGCAGCATGAAACTACCTATTTGGCCATCCATTCGCGTTGCTTGGAATGTCCATTGGGAGCCCTGCTGATCGTAGAGCGCCCAGAATATTGGCAGTGGTATGAACAATTTCAGAACTCGCAGTGAAACTTTGATATCTTCGATCAGTTTGTTGTCGTAAGTATCATCAGCATGATCGAGCCAGTGATCGCGTTTTCCCTCTTTCTTTTTTATTTTATTGCCAATTGCATGCTGGTTTTTTGAAACATAAAAACGATACATTTACTTTAAGTGATTTTTTAGTTTCATTGAGTGAAATTAAAAATTCACGGAATCAAACATTTAAGAGAGATTGATTAAGGACTTATTTTTGTGGCTGATAATTTAAAAATCCGTAGAGAGTTTAGAAATATTTAAAGATTCATTGATTTCCACATTTAAGGATTGGAAAATTCATGAATTCCAAGAGTTATGCAGATTTAGAGTCACGTGCATTCTCTCTCTCTCTCTCTCTAAGACACGTAGAGATTCTAGACAAAATTATTGTACAGTCACACCAAAAAATTATATTAAAATATTTAAAATACATTTACATTTTAGAGTCTAGTGAGTTTTGTGAGTGAATGTTTGTTTTAATTATTAAATAATAATTGTCTCAGTAGAGTAAACAATTATTTGTATGATAGTTTGCAGATGTAATTTTTATCAGTTTTGGAGTTTTTGAAGTGTTTAAAATGGTTTGAGAGATTTCGGTGATATACGACTTACGCAAACGCACTTGGTAACCTTGACGATGAGATTGCCCGAGGGATTCACTATTTTATACAGTCTTTTCCCCGAGACGAATATCACTGAAAATAAATTCTGAATAAGACTGCATTTATACGGCTGGGAGATGTGTCTCATGCTTTCTTATCCTCACCAATCGATAGAATCATCAAACAGGCCGGCACTAAAAATGCCACAAAGTAACAATCGCCTCCAAAGCATTTTGTTTCGCGAATCACCGGAGTCAGCAACGTGGAGATTAGGGAACCTGTATTAATGGAGAAGTAGAAGAGGGAAAAAAACATCGCTAACTGTACTTCCTGCTGAGGCAGAATGAACTGATCGCCTCCGAAGGCCGACACACAGGGTTTTATTCCGCCTGTACCAACCGCTATCAGAAATAAACCCAACATGGAAAATTCTCTGAAAAATTGGAATAAGTTTATTCTTTTGTTGGCAGGAATTAAAAAGTCTTTAAGATTAGCAGCACTTGAATGGTATTTAAATTAAATTGTATTCAAATCATATTTAAATTTAGATAGAGAAGTTGAAAATTATTTTTAATCTGTGCTAATTTTTTATATTAATATTATGGTTGTTTTAGACATATATTATACTAACCTTGCGGGCAAACCGATGGTCGGTGCCGCACTCAAGGATAGAATCACTTGTCCAAGTGCGTAAATAATACTTAAATAAAAAATAGTATTGAATTTTCCGAGCCATGAATCGGATATGATCGCACCCAACAGCGGAAAGAAATAGACGAAACAGGTGAAGACATGATAGATTATTGTAGAAGTGTCCTCACTGTATCCCAGCATGTTAAACAAGTACAGCGAGAGGACGGCTGAAAGATAATTTCGTGTTAATTCATAATCTCTTCATTAAATTATATACGATCAGATTCAAGATTAAGATCAAACTGTTCATCAAAGCCTCTCCAAAATTTTAGAATTATATGAAAACAGTAAAAGGAAATATCGTCTTACATTATAAATTTTGTTGATATAACGTATCTTAAATTGATATAATTTTTAGGGATTATCAAAAGGATAAGTATAATGTAATAATATTATTCTGTTAAAAAAATAAAAATATAATCCAACAGCACACGAGAGAATCTAAAAAAATATCACATTTGTATAAAATTATCAATTTGTTACTATGATAACTGCAATAATATAGAAATGTTACAAAAATTAATCTTCAATAAAATTAGCAATTTTTATAGAATATTAGAGCAAAAAGTTTATTCTATGTTTCCAATTAAATATTGTACTAGTTTCGGCTAGAGTTGTTGGAACTAGAATTAAAGGAACAATTGTTCTAATTGTCGTATCATTACTTTTAAATTACGTAGATTGTGGAGTGACGTTAATACTTAAATTGACGTTGATGATTTGTATACTTACTGCGCATTCCATAATAACAAAATCTCTCGCAGAATTCATTGCTGATAATGAAGAATACTGATTTGGGATACTTCACTTTCTGAAAATTTTTTTAGAAAAAAATTTCATTCTTTTTTTAAAATAAAATATCAAAATTTAATATAAACACATTGTATATAATACACAATATATAATAATGCATTAATATAAAAATATTATTTTACTAACTTTAGCTTACTTTATGATTTATTTCATAATCAAGAATAATTTTTTCAAGTTTTGAAAGCGATTTGTTGACGTATAAAATGAAATGGAAATCAAGTTAAATACTTTGGTAATTATTTCGCGAATTAATTAGTTCAATGATTTTAGTTCTTGAATTAAGTTTGTCCTAAAGTAAAATCAATTTTTATGTATTTTTAATTATGTAGTTGAAATGTAAGGAACTAATTTTTTGTTAACGAGACACTCGACCTGGAGTTACGAAAGTAGCTTTTCAAAGGAAGAGATCTAGCGCAATCATATTGACCCGATTAACATCATATTGTTATACAACAGGCACATTTATTTTCCAGTGTTTCCCAGCGAGGATTGAAATGCGAAGGTCGTGCCGACCGAATTATCATTTATGCCATGTATATTGAATTTAACGATTGGGGATAAAGACTTTAGAAACGAGATAACAAAATAAGCCTGGCACAATACTTTGTGAGGAGGTAATCTATTTTTCACTTAATGTTCTCCATTACGCGAGAACGTATATTTATCCTTTTCGTCGTGTCGACATATTGTCTGTCTTCGGTAAATAATTAAATTTATACCGAATATATGAAAATATATGAAGAATTGCTGGCGGTAAACTCACATAAATTTGTGAGTGAGCATTTGTAACAAGTTGTATGCAGCTGTTTTTGCAACTAGGTTTCTAAAAGCAAGCGGCTGTTTATTATATTATACGTAGAACCTTACAGCAATTTGTTTCAAGGAAATTTTTACACGTGAAGAGATTATTACAGAGTAAATATATGTATTCTCACAACGATGTCCATTTCCAGTTATTGCTTTGACAATTAAGTCGATGATAACATTGTCTTTTACGTCGTCAGGGACGACGATGAACTGCTGGGTATACGAGCATCAATAGTGTGTGTGAATGATGTAAAGTACAATATAAATTGCATTGCGATATATTATCAGTTGATAGAAGCATTGACATTTAATAATTACGCGACGTAATTTCAGATTGTTATAAAATAATGTTGCGAACTGTAATTAATTTCTGAGACGACATGCAACAACAATACTTAACGTCACTGTTTAAAGGGAATCTTAGGAAATACCACATCCGTTTGAGAGTATCAATTTATTACTATATGCTGTTATTGAAGCCTTACTTAAACAGACATTTAAATGCCGTTGTGGAAAGAAAATGGAAACGCCGACGAAAATAGCAGTAATAAATGTCTATTATATATATATATATTAAAAGAAAAAAAAACAAACGCGCTCTTTTCCAACGATTAATGCATTTACGTAGTACGCACAAATGCGATAAAAGTGATAAAACTCGCGTTATAGAGATATCTTTATCTACAATATCTGTACTTTCCTCCCGACAACTGTTCCGAATCAAATCTGAATCTTGATAATGCTCGTCGAGTAATTACGTTGTGGATTAAACAATTTGATAATGATGTATGTAAATGAAGAGCTTGACAGATGATCTAATTTCAGATATATACCCAGGTAGCACATAATATACCCAGGTAGCACATAATATTTCAGAAATGTTTTATAAGCGTTTTTCCAAAACGTTTTATAACCGATTTATAGAAACGTTTCTCATGAGTAAAAATGTCCATTCGAAAAACGTTCGATGGTTTCTTTTCCGATAAAATAACGTTTAAAAACCTATTATAGAAACGTTTTGTTTTAATGATAAAGACATTTTAGATAAAGACATTTAAAATTCCTACTTTTCACGTCTTTTGAACGTGTTTATGCATAACGTCTTTGAGACATGCGTGAGAATGTTCTACAAGCTTTATGCATATACCATCTATGACGTCTATTCTTTTTCGAAGAAATTCCTGAACTGGTGCACATTCGTGCAATAAGTAAAGTGAAAAAAAATATACTTGTCTCACTTTAACTTAATTGCATTACTGATGTGCACCAGTTCAGGAAGTTCTTCAAAACGGAACACACGTATAAATGTTCTTTCAATGGCCACGTTTAGCAGAACGTTTATTTTGCAACTGTTGGAAGTTTTCTAAGCTCAGATTTGTCCGATAACAAATAGATTAAGACCGGTAAGACAAAATTAATTTAAGTATAAATAAGTGCAAATTATAATTTGCTTTATTTATAATATATTTATGTATAATAGCTTTAGCCTTTTTTGAAACATTTAAATTTATATTGCACTAATTATTGCACAAAATAAATCATTTTATCCAGCCAATAATTCTTTACGGTTATGAAACTATGTATACGTTTAAAAAACGCACAGAAAAAAATTTAGCTAAAGGATTTGCTACTATACGGACAACTAACATTTTTTGCTGCGAGAGCTAATTAATTTTGTAATAATAGCAAAACCTTTTGCTGCAATATCAATGTTCAGCAAAACTGTTTGCTATTGCAACAAAATGTTTCGCTATTATTGCAAAATTAATTAGCTCTCGCAGCAAAAAATGTTAGTTGTCCCATATTTAACAAATAGATTTGCTGTTGCACCAAAATCTTTTTTTTCCATGCGTATATGAAACTAATATATGTGCTACCTGGATGGCAACAACACGGGTATTTACCAATTTTGGTAAATGGTATACAAGTACACGGAAATCGCGGTATCCGGATTGATTATCACGTGCTGACCGGAATGGATTAGAGAACTTTAACAAAAACTTGCATCTCAGAGAAAGTATAATGGTCGGTCGTGACCAAGGGAATTAGTCGGGCATACTGAGGTGAATGGAAACGAGTCAATGAACCGGCGCTCAATTGAAAAACTAATTTATGCTCCAAACCTATTCACGTCGACTGTTATGGTAATTTAAGACTATGTAAATCGTAATACGCATTTGTCTTTCCGGCGCATCGGTAAAATCATGTAAAGGAAGGATGAAAGCGTTTACAAAATATTTAAATAAATTACATCTGTTTCTATATAAATATATAGAAACTATGTATTATCTACGAAGATCAAGACATAGATGATTTGACCTACATAGCTCTTGTTAAAGAATCGAGAAGCAGCGAAGTCAGATTACACAAGTTCATTTTTAAGTAAAGATATAAACAAACAGAGGCATTTCTTTCTTGCAATGCGTTTTGGAGATCTGCAGTAAAGATCTCGCCTCTATTTTCTTAACGTTTATATTTTACAAAATTCAGAAATATTCTTTTGGTATTTCTTCGATATAATGAAATCGTTTTCTATCTTTTCCTTTAGAAAAATAAGCACGCGGTTAAATTATTCAGTAATTACTATTCACGATAAGTATGATAAAATTAAAGTTTACCTGCCGCACATGTATTTTATTTACGTCCATTGTATACGTCACAATAGAAAGGGGAAAAAAAGAACTGATGATATATTAATATCGATCACTAGCACGAGGATCGCTTCACTTCATCGGGTGGGTATTCTATCTGATATGTTACAGTTCGAACTACGTCCAGATTGAGGTTCGACGACGATCGGTCACTCGTCGTCGGTTTCGACGGCTCCGCTTGTACGCGCTCGTACATCGAGACTGACATCAGCGATCGTGAGCGAGCGTAATGTCGCTGCCAGAGTAGGTAGGTAGGTAGGTATCAGCATGTAAGAAGCCTATATACCTCGAAGCGGGCATAACGTACACGCGTGACGGAGTGTTACATTCGTGGTGCGAGCGTGTTCCGGCGTAGTATTTGGAACAACGTGAAAGTACCGTGGTCACATCGTAGAGCCACGTGTAACCGGTCGATTGGTTTTTAATTCGCAGGTGTTTCAGGTATTACGCGCGGATGTGACAGTTTCCGATTTACGCTCCAATACAAGCTCGCAATTAAAAAGCGTACGAGCGTCATTGTGTGCAAAGTACGCAAGAATGCAGGATATGAAAGGAGATAAAAGATATGACATTACAATTTTTAAGAAATTGATTTTTTCTCTCAGATCTAGTAAGTAATATTTATATGTATATTTTGACATTTAATCCTGTGCAGCAAAAAACGCGCCTATTCCGAAGAAAATATCGCGATATTAATATTAGAAATCTATGACTTTGTGTTGCTGACCTCGTTGATGACGTAACGTAATTTATGCGCGTTTGCGGAATAAAAGCCGGAGGAGTCGTACATTATTTTGCGTAGTGTGATCACGCGCTATATCGAGTGTAATTAAAAGAACCGAGACATATCCGCCGATTCAATTGTTAGATTTTATTCTCGGTAAAATGACGTATCTCACACACATACACATATAAGACCTTTTTTCATATCTATAATACGTATGTCTGCGAATTATCTATCGTAGTAGAATGATCACACGATTGTAGGCTGCAGTCCAATTATTATGGTCATATCTTTTATTTACGGAAAGAGATAAGCATTGTGATCGAGATAGATGATATGATTGTACAAAAATCAAAATCCAGACACTGTTGACAAAATAATTAACCGGTTGATTAAATTAATCTCTTTAAGAGTTTCTTAATCTAAGAAATAACCAATTCGCAAATATCGTTATAAAAGACTGCCATTGAAACAACTTTCATATACAAACTTTTATCTCAAACTGGAATGTCTCGTATATTGCGAATTACGGAATCTTTCGAGTGAAGCGGAGCGAAGTCTGATCGCGATGACAAGTAATACGGAGGGAACAGAGAAAGAAGTTGCTCAATAAAAACGCGGTCGACCGATGGTACGTGAATGTAAATTCGATGCGGGACGTTTATTATCTGACGATTTTGCAACGTTGAAAAACGCGGGAGAACGGCTTCCCTTCTCTCGTCGCGGCAAAAAGATCGCCGAATCTTACATCATGTTTTCTTTTCTTATCGTCGAGCGATATTAACGTTATATATCAAAATGCGAGTAGCGTATTTACCGCACCATCATCGTTATGTGTGAATTATATAATGCGCTATATACACTTAAATGCGCGATAATATTAATGCGAGCTTCCAACCTCGTGGTAACGTTATAATTGAGCAAAAGTAATCCATGTTCATGTGCAAATTATCGCAGAAGCTCACCGGAATCACAGGCGGCCAAAATTATCAGACAGGATTACGGAATGCAAATGATGATGGTATATATTCCTATCTTATCTATTTATCTATCTGGAGATATAAATCTAAATATCTTAAACACTTAAATATATGTCATTATACTATAAACTGTATAAATTTATATAGTATGTTTCACGAATATTTATTTTAATCTCACCTCTTCTTGCGCTTCGGCATTGCTTTGATTATCCGGGTGATCTGAAACACGTAATATTTGACAAAGTGATTTATATTGTTTGGGCTGTCATAAGAAAATTAAGACTGACAATGTTGTAGAAATGTAGAGGAGAAATCTTTTATACCATTAAGCTGTCTTTATTTATAATTACGTCACATTCAACATAAATTGAATAACTTATAACATCAATAGCTATTATTTAAAAATTAGTCTAATCATTGTCAGCTATTTTAATCTATCTCAGTGAAAGCAAATGGCGATCGTTTACGCCAATCATCAATATTCATGAGCAGTAATTTGACTGTTTAAACTGGGTCACGGTCCAATTGTATATCGTATATCGTATAAAAGAATCATTAGGCAAGTAGTTACGACAATTAACTGAATATTCAATCACGTCATGAATATTTATTTCGCGGTTTGATCTCTAAAAACATTCGACAAAATCAGATATACGCGCGACAAAATGCAATAATATATTATTTGCGTCATTTTTTGACTTTGTTCCGTTACTCGATAATTTTTTTATCGCGTTTCCTGTATTAATTATGGCGATTAACCCTAGATAAATGACGTTGTCAAAAAAGATAAAAGATATTGTTATCAGAGTTTTAGTAATTACCGCTGCCACCGCTGGCCATATCGGCGGATGCAATACTCGACGTTCTTTAAAGCGATAACAAAATTGTTTACAATACTAGTCTAAAAAAATTTTGCTGATTTTAAAAGAATTATTATTTTGACTGTTGTCTATAATTATCAGCATTGCCTTCCGTTCTTAAACAGCTTAATGTTTTGTTTAATTAAAATAATTATATGTCAGTAATCAAGATTTCTGTATAACACTTTTCTATTTTATTACCTATCCTATTTATATTAAATTATTTGCTTTTCTTTATTTTATTTAACCCTCCATTGTTGTCGTATGAGGTAAACGTTCATATTAAAGCAAAGTTTATTGAACTTGAAATTAGTTTTCTTTATTATGATTGATTAAATTTCAATCCAATCTCAATCCCAATCCGTAGCATGATATGGGCTTAAGACTGTGTTGATCTGAAGAGACAATGCCGCATTAATACAGTGATATACGCGTGTATATATATATATGTACACAGACGCGGCACGGCGCTCATACGAGAGCGCTAATGTTTATTTAAACAAGGGCAATGGAGGGTTAATTGTAAGTATAAATAAAATATTTTTATATAACTGAAAAAAAATTGTATAATATTTCGATTTCGAGTTACGTTGTTATTGCTTGCACATCATTTGCGTAAACCATTTATTTTTATAAAATGACAACAGTTTCCGGCTTACGAAAATAAGTTATCTCATGAGAGATAAAAAAATTCTCAATAATCTGAACGTTTGTTAATTCATTAAATTGCCACTTAACGTTTATTTTTATCGACATAGATAGAATGACGTTTTACTACTCCTACATTTCATCAGTACTTTGTCTGATCGTTTTCCAACTCGTGTTCGTATTTATTGAGACTCCAGTTATTTAATTGACGACTTGGTTTACTCACGATAAGCCAATTATATCTCAATCATCCTAAGATTTGTTAACCAATGTATATTTGAGTCAAACCGACGCGTAAAACGCTTCGTTAGCGTCTGATGGTTGCTAAAGAAAAATTGCTGTTTATATTTATTATCAGGAAGAAATCCTGATAATAAATATAGTGTAGTAATGCGATTAATAGAGGTTTATCAGAGAAAAGCGCTCTCATTTTAGTAATATCTCGGATCATAAACGATCAACCGGATTACAAGTGTGTGTGAAAAAAGGCAAATTCCAAGGGATCGCGAAAGAAATGTAAGAATATTGCAATAACAGCAATCCAGACAATACGCATGTCTCAAATCGGAACATATGACGTCTTTAATACATCTTATGTTCCGATTTAGGACATTGTGTTCACTAGGAGCGTTTGATCTCAATTTGATGCAAAACAAACGGCTATTTTTTTTATATATGCATGAACGATGAAAAACGAAGATATATGCCGCCGTTATAATTGTCAAAAGACGGAATACCTTGGATCTCGTTATCGAAAGTTTTTCTCTTCGATACACCCGTAGTGTCCATTTTCACCGATTCTTTTCGCCGTCCAACTTATTCCCACGACGTTGACTTGGACACTGATCCGTCTTACCGATCGTAATACCGCAAGTATGATGAACTATCACTCCTCATCTTATCTATCAATACCTGTAGACAAAACAATCTGATTACGAAGTTATTTTATCGCGCGCGATATTACCTATATACTCTCAAAATTCTTAAAATCCTGCACGCGGGTGTGAAGTGAACGTTGACGTTAGGATTAACCAAATGACGTGAAAGGCGACTTCCTTTCTTTCGATCGCAGCATATTGGCGAAAGCTTGTTATCAATAAGTGTGGCGATTGTGACGCAGAATAATGTGCGCTATATACTGCTTTTGTGTGTGTGTGTGTGTGTGTGTGTGAGCCGAAGATTTGGGTTCAAATCTGATAAAATATCAGTTTTTATTTCACGGCCACGATCACTCCCACACAGCAAGCATATCAAAAAGACGTTCAGAAGATATCTCGAACATATCCTATCACCTAAAATATATCTTCGGGATATCTTCTGGACGTCTTTTTGATATGCACGCTGCGTGGGCTATCTCTCGGATATGGTGATGACAAAACCCACCAAGAGTATTTTTCCACGAGAATATCTCATCTGTATTTGAAGAGGAAACCAACCCTCAAGATTGGAAGTTGGGCAGTAAGTTGACCTGCTCCTAGGAAACAAGATTTTATATCAATATCTCAAAAATTCTAAGGAGACCCAGGTCCTACTTGGACTCTGTTTGACTTGAAATGTGCCATTGATTGATTTGATTGATTGTTATCATTAGTCAAGAATATTCTTTTTTCTGTGTATATAAAAAATATAAGGATATAAGGAGAATTGTGTTTATCGTACAGATTGCTGGTGCAAGTCTCTCGCAGATTCTCGTTCATCTCGATGAATACTCATTTCGTCCGTTATCTCGGCGCGCGATGAGAGTTCGAAATCAAATACAAGCAAAAATTGCGCTTTTCCGTGAGCGCGTCGCGATGCACGAACATTCGCACGCACGTGACATGGCTGCGCGGCGCGGTAAATGCAATACGCGTGAAGTTGCATTCAAATAGGTGTCAAGGCATCCGCGACGCGCGCGCAACGTTCGGTGTACTCGATTTTTAAAGATGCGCAGCCGCGCACAAGCGCATCGAAACTAGCGAACTTCGCGTGTATTCGATACTCCGACGGCCGATTACGAAAAGCGTATTCGCCACCTTTTCTCTTTGATTTCTTTCGTAATCAAAAGGACAATTCTCCATGATTTTCTTTTATTAATCCTTTATTGCATATAGTGTCCCTATATGGGAACACCTATTTCCTCGCAGTTTTTCTATGTTATTTTTACGTATTTCATAATTGGTTTGTGTAACATATTTCGAAGATTTAATTTTTAATTGTATGTGTGAAAATAACATAAATATGTAATTATATTTTTCCGTTTTTTGGCCCTACCGCACTGATAATTTTCAAATTCATCTATATTACTTAATTTTAAAATACAATTTTATTACAATTGGAATTTGATAGCAAGATTCCCTTGTAAGGATTTTGAAAAATTACTTATATTGCGATATGTATCACTTGATAAGGACCCGCGGCGAAGCCTGGGTCGAAACGTCGTGTAACTATATGTATGGATTGCCAATTGTTGTCGAAAGAAATATACGTATTTAGTTTTGGTTCAATATCGTTGGCGGAATAAACACTTACTTTGTGGTATTTATATTTTTATTCATATTAGAGAATTTCGTTAAAAAGTAGCAACAATTTTATATTAGATCTGCCATTTTATATTTTCAAATTTTGCAGATTAAAAATCAGAAGTCTAAAAAACTCTTATGTATAAAATTTTATACGTAAATACGCATAGTTAATTTTTTTCAATTTGGCTGTCATATATTGAATCTGTCATTTTGATTTATTAAATTACGATTTCAGATTTGCAATTATAGCAACTCCAAAAATTCCTACGTACTAAAATTCAGTAAAATATGTGCAACAGAAAAATTTGTGTAACACAAAGGGTTAAATTAGCGTATCATTGGATTTCCACTGGTGTGTGATGCCTCGTCATAGAATAGATCTTCCGGACGATCTTAATTACTGTTAGACACGATCTTTATTTAGTTTTGAGCTTCAGCTTACATATGCTGTTTATATGTATATCTATCCACGATTAGGGTTGGACGTTTACGCATAAAATACAATAATCTACATCTACATACGCGTATATATAAAGTAAACTTATAATGTTTAACGTCCCATATAGCACCAAGTCGTCTAAAAGAATGACTAAAACTCGACATATTTTTGTCAAAGATATCTTACAGTGAAAGCGATTAGTTGGCGAAAAGATGGCTTTTCTTTTTCTAACTGCACATGTACGTGTGTAGAGCGTGTTTACATTAACATGCTGTCTAAATTTTACAAGATTCCTAAAAAAATCAGTTTACGAATGTATACTACATATACCTTAAAGAAATCAATCATTCAATTTATAATATCATAGTTTATATTAGTTACATTATTGTCTACATGAAAAAGGTTCGTGTAAACGTAAACAATCAGTAAACAACCCACGTAGATGATCTTGAAATTTCGGCACAACCCCCTTTGCCCACAATCGAGAACTCCGCTGGGTCCCTCTTCTCCCCCCTCTCTCTTTATTCCGCGAAAGTTAAATAAAATGACGAAGAGGACATTTCTTAATCGTTCGCCTAGCGAAACGGAGCGGGTTAATTTTGACCTGTGTGCATTTTGGGAGCAGTAGCAGGCCGTTTAGCGCGTGAACGAGACGGATAGAACGGATCCGCGAGTATAACGGTAAAACCGTCTGTCCTGCACTGTCCGAGACAGTGGCGCGAATCTGGGTCTCCAGACTCTCCAGCGGCAGAGAGACGAGGGGGTCATCTCCTCCTCTCATATTGTCAGTGCTGTTCTTCTCGTGCTTTATCGACGTCTATGGATTTTTCGCGGAATCGTAGAATTCCCGATTAGCAATCTCACGCGGAGCAAATCCGACCGAGCATGTGCGAGCTCGCGCGGAAAAGCGTGCTTTTTCGCGGTAAGTGCGCACGCGGGGAACCGACCGTGGCCGATATTAAAATTCGACCTTCATCAAGCCTCGCCTCATCATTACAAGAGTAAAATTGACCACCGATCGAGTAATTCTAAATATATCTAATCTAAATAATAAAATATATATTAGCAAACTGTGTAAATGTAATAAATAATAAATTTATAAAATACACCATAATACCTTATACTTAATCATAAATACACTTTAATAAAATATATTTGCAAAGTGTATTAATAGATCGTAAAATATATTAAAATGTATATTCGCAGAGATGTTACGCTTTAAATTTGCAAGATCTGAAGAGGTTTGAAGATGCTTCGCGAGAGAAGCTCACGGAGGGAGTTTGAATTTTATAGGGTAATCATTTATTGTCGTACGACACATTTTTTAAATGTAATAATTAGCTACAAGATAAAGGAGTTTCTAAAAATTCGAGAACTTTTCTGTTTTGTATTCAATTAACGTGCTTAAAAAATTTGTCGTACGACATATGAAATATCAGTATTAATCACCAGGGCCGTAGCGAGAAATCCCCTCCGTGCTCCCGCAAGTAAGCACGAGCAGATCCGTTCCTGACAATCGCGAGACACACGCAGTGACGCCGGAGGAGGCGACACGCATTCGCGAGCGATGGGGTTCGATGTGAGCCGCTTCAACGGCGACGTGGACGAGGAGCTTGTGTGTCCTATATGCTCTGGCGTGCTCGAGGACCCCGTTCAGGTACAGCATACGCGTGTTTCAATTTCCATTCGAGGACACCTCGCCGCGCGACCCACCCCCTCTCGCCTAACCTCCACCTCCACTGCGCTCATGTTTATTGTGCGAAGAGCTTTACCGGATTTGGGCAGGGAGAGGGACGAATTTACGCGTGGTTTATTTCGGTTTTCGGAAAGGTGGAGGATCAAGATCGAGAATTTTCGCGAGTTTCCATCTGAGAACCGCGCTGAACTCGTCTCTCGGAAGTAAGAAGTCGGTCGGTGGATCTGAAAGATTTTAGTTGACTTCGCACATCGAGAGAAAGAGAGAGAGAGAGAGAGACAGAGACAGAGAGAGCTCTCGAGTACGTAATACCTGGAGCTTCCATTTTCCGCGGTTTCCTGTTGTTCTCGTTCCCGTCACGCGATTTCGTTCGTCTCGAAAAGGCGAGCGAAATCGCGCATCTGCGAATATAGGTTAGCCTGACTTGTCGCTTTTACACGTTGCTGCTATTGCTGATTAAGCATCGTCGGTGTTTACCGATCGAGAAGCTTGTATCTTCTGCAAAAATGCTTATTCTAAATTAAACACGTGTTTATGTGTCTACGTATGGAACGTAATAAGCTGCCGTCTTCTCTTTTACACTGCAATTTCGGCATCTCTTGCGTCACTCCATCCATGTATACATTTTAACAGATTCATACATTCTCTAACACAAAGGGTCTATTTTCTATTGCTGAACTGGCTGCACTAGTTCAGAGTTTATCTCTTTTACTCCACATTGAAGGAGAAAAGACACTGAACTAGTTCAGCAATAGAAAACAGACCCAAAGTATTTGCGTCATGCTTATGCCTAAAAGCTTCCATAATTTCATCACTCGGGGAGATTCGTGCATATCTTGCCAAAGGTAGCATGTACCTATACTAAAACTTTATCGCTTTATAAAGTTGTGGCAGCTTATGAGGACTGGCAGGTGAGTAATGTGTTGCAGGCACCAGTGTGCGAGCACGCCTTTTGTCGCACCTGCATCAACGAATGGATAAATCGCCAGCCTACGTGCCCTCTGGATCGTACGGCCATCACGTCCACGCAGCTTAGAGCAGTCCCCCGAATCCTTAGGAACCTCCTGGCCCGTTTGTCCATCAAGTGCGACAACATCATATACGGCTGCAACCATATCGTCAAGCTGGACGGGCTGGCTGCGCATCTCGAGCAGTGCGAGTACAATCCGAAGAGACCAATGTTGTGCGAGCAGGGTTGCAGCTTGATCATTCCCAAGAACGAGCTCAAGGATCACAATTGCGTACGCGAGCTCCGCAATCTGATACAGTCGCAGCAGCAGAAGCTAACCGACATGAAGCGCGAGCTCGGCGAGCAGCAGCTGCAGATCAACGAGCACAAACGCGAGATCCATCTGCTCAAGGATTTTATGCGCGCCCTCAGAGTGTCGAACCCGGCGATGCGCGCGATCGCCGATCAGATGGAACGGGACGACGTCGTCAGATGGTCCGCGTCTCTGCCACGCGCCAGGGTTACCAGGTGGGGCGGTATGATCTCCACGCCCGACGAGTTGTTGCAGGTACGAATTGTAGCAATAGATATAATTATAGCCGTAGATATATCCTAGCTAAGTCTATCAAAAGCAGATCTTGCCAAGTATTTGCTACAAATGTTATCAGAAAGATTACAGATTTGATGCCGATCCTGATTTATCACATAATATCGGCAGAACGCCAACAGAAATAATAGTCTGCTAACATAGTTAGACAGCAGATTGGTGGCAGAAATTGAGCAGATCCTACTGGAATCGTTCAGGCTCTGCATGGTTTCTGCTACCAATCTGCTGTCTGATTATGTTAGCAGACTTTGCTGGCAGAACATAAGCTGAATCCAGACGCAGATGTCAGTCTACTAACATATCTGATCAAATCTGTTACCAATCTGCCGACAGACTGCTATCCATTTTGGTTACTGGGATAGATATAGAATTAATTTATGTGCCAATTGTTAGATCGATTTTGCGACTGCACTCATTCTGAGATTGCATCTTTGACGTTTGCAGACGATGATCAAGAGAACTCTGTCGGAGTACAATTGTCCACCTCATGTGATCGACGAGCTGATGGAGAACTGCCACGAGAGGAAATGGCCGCCAGGTTTAAATTCTCTCGAGACTAGACAAAACTCGCGACGACAATACGACAACTACGTGTGCAAAAGAGTGCCTGGCAAACAAGCGGTACTGGTCCTCCACTGTGATAATATGCACATGCCGGAGGATATGATGGTCGAGCCTGGGTTAGTGATGATCTTTGCGCATGGTATCGAGTAGGTTGGACATCGTATATGAATACGATTATTAATTACACCATCACGACTCCAAATATACTGATATCGCATCGCAAACGCAGTAGGAGTGAATGTGCTCGGCCACAGTTTGCGAATTGACATGAGTTTATTCTGGATAAGATTAATTCGCGAGAACAATCGTCTGATCATTGTCAAGTTTTACTCGGAAAATTCCTTCACCGGGATACTCGCATGTTTACGGTTAAAACCTTAAGATTTGCAAGATTGTCCTTGATGTGAATTCATTCCGAAGATAAATCGAAGCCGTCGAGCATACGCAAACGATGATGCACGCTGTCGCCCTTTGTGATACGCGATTCTGTGAGGCGCGATTGTCGCGTACAGGCTCGATTGGGATTGTAATTGTAATACGATACGGCAAACAACATCGGTAAACATATTTCTTGACTCGCGTCAGATTTGATTTGCCGTTATCGGTTATCTCGATCGAACTCCCAGAAGAAAAAACTCAATCGAGTATCTCTGAATCGTTGCACTGTGATATACCACTTCGGTGAGAAACCTCCTGAAATCGCGTGATAAATGACCGACCACCGTCTCTCCTCCTTGGCCGGTCGATCGATCGAGTTGTACATTTTTTTATCGGCGGTTCGTTTATCGTTCATTTCAGGATCATTTACGGATACTTAGAAGTCTGTGAATATTTTACTATACTTTAGAGAAAGAGAGCAGCGTAAGCGAAGATTGGCGAAAACTCCCACTAATGATCTAAGCACAAACGAGAAATCTAAGAATGAAATACAGATTTGCCAGCGTTGCGATCTGTTTTTTAACATTTGACGCTTATTGGTCCTGTCAGGAATCGCGTTTTTTTTCCCCCAATGATATTTTTCTCCTGCAATTCTTACCCTGCAATACCTGCTTGCAATACTTTTCCTTTTCTCCTCGAAAATTCATTCTAAGCTATGCGTCGTAAACAAGCTAATCATTATTATCGTCTGCATACGAATTTAAGCATTTCCTAAAAATTAATTATTTGTTGAATATGTAATAAATAGCTTGATTACTCTGAGTTAACGACACGTTTTGCTTCCTCGTCATATCACTGTGTTAGGGTGTTCTATTGTTCTATTGTTAAAAGAAAGTTTGAATTGCAAACTTTTCATAAGGCATACTATCAAAATATTATTTATTATAATATTAGTATTATGTAATTATAATTATAATTATATAATGTTAATAGCGATGGAGCACCCTATGTAAATTAATTACTGTAACGATTAATTAGTTTGTATCGCAGTACTGATCTATGATTTGCGAATTGTGTAACATTAAAATGCTTCTTCACGTAGCTTCTTGCTTTGTCACGATGTACTTAGGACCAACAGATTATTTTAAAAAGTTTTTATCACAATCTCGATCTTGTAATCTATTTTTATAATACAAGATAATGCCACGTAATGAAGGAGAATAGAGGTATTAGAATTCGTTCTCTCGGAGTCTATTAGAGTCTTTCTCTCGGAAAAACTCTCTAGTTCCGTCAGTTTTGCGTTACTTCTTAGTAGCGAAAATTGTACTTCTGTCTTTTGTACCTTTTTTGTCCGATAAATTGTGTTATCTGATAAACATAGTGAGTTTTAAGTGTAATATTATACATTTAGAGATTGTATTAAGACAATTCGATGAACAGGCTGATTTCATACATATATATATAGTATATATAATATAATTGTAATAAAAAAAGCACGGATTTTACATATCAAGTGATTTAATATACCTTATATTTTTATTTTTTTTTCTCACTTTGATCAGGCTATACAATCCATAAATCCCTCGGATCTCAAATTACGCTCGACAAATAGATTCAATCATATACAAATGCTGAAACTAGACTGCAAGAAACGTTCCTATGGCTGTGAGTTCTGATTTAATAAATAATTTAATAAATAATGCTGTACGATTTTCCATACTCTTTTGGGATATTAGGCCTGTTTGTTTTCGCTGAACTAATAAGTTAGAATGAAACAAATATATTTTTTTTCATTCTGACTTATTGCACTAGTTTAGAAGTGCAGCGAAAACAAACGGGCTTATTAAATCTCTAGTATACTGAATGAAAAGTCGCAACACCAATAATGGCCATAATCTATTTTACCATAGAAAGCAAATATTCTTCCCAAAATTGTATTTAAAAAAAAGATTCGTGCACGCATTATTTTTTAAATTACGTTAAAATTAAACACTTTTGTGGCATTTTTATTCATTTCATTCATTGTGGCATTGTTTCTTGGGAAATATAATTTATCTCGTTGTTAAGTTTACGTAAAATCGTCATTTGCGCATAGTTTTCGCGATTGCACTTCTAAGATAGTTTTTACGTAAAGTTCTAGCGTAATAATCACAGATGATTTATGATTTGCAATTATATAGAGCAATGTTGAAATTAGCAGATTTGTGCATTTATAAATATATTTTATTCTTCATATTCTCTTTCATTAAAAATTTCAAAATATTGTGTTTACAATCGCAAATCGTTTCATTATGATTGTTATAGTGATACGACGTCGTGACTTGACGAAGAGGCAAGCATTATGTTAGAATGGCGATTTCCGTAACATTAATTAAACCAAGACTGAGCAAAAAAAAAAAGATAAAAATCCATGAGAACGAACTTTTAAGAACTTATTATATAAGAATTTGGATTTATTTACAAGATGTGCCGAATGCGATAACGCACAAATATTACAAATATATATCTATATATTCACAAAATAAAAAACGCTTATGACTTTTACAGAAAATCTTATTTCCTTTTTTAATGATTTGCATCATTGTATTAAAACCAACTTCCTGCGTTCCTACACATTATTTTATAACTTACATCCTTTATTAAATCATATCTTTGGTTACACTTGAGCTTCCTTATCCTGTACGAATAATTTTTCATAGTTCTTGGTCGAGAAAATATCTTTTACAAGGAAAGATTAATGGAACTATAAAGTTCAAGTTTTGAACTTATTACTTCTGTTATTGATTTTTTGTTTTTGATTAAGCGCGTTCAGATATTAATAAAATATTTTGAAGAGGAGAAGATGGCTAGATCAGGATTTTAGATAAAGCTATAAATTTGCATGGCCTATGAAAAATTTTTTCATTATTTTAAATTGTCGGGCACACACCGGTGATAACTTGTCCGTAGGCTCGTTCAGGCCTGATGCTGACGGTCTTCATGTTAATCATAATATTGTTGATACAGCCGACGTATTGAGCCTGCGACGTACTACCTCGTAATTTTCTTCCAAGCATCGGATGGCCACCGATGAATATCGGATGTTTTGACAAGACTCTAGCCACGTTTTTGCCGCCGATTCCGGGCGGTGCCGGTTTATGATCGACCGACAGCAGTACCGCATTTTTCTGTTTGACAGCTGTGTTGGAAAAAAAGAGGAAAGTGTAATAGCAGAACGCGATTTAAGTAACATCGACTGCTAACCATTAGTGCCTTTTGGTCATAGATAAATTAAATCCAAATTAATTTTAACATATCAAAATATTATAATATCATATTGAAATTAAAATCACGGTTCCAAGAGTACTCTGTAACATTAAGTCAGCTCGGTATGATGCTATTTACCTCGAATATTGTGCCAGTTGCCGTCGCACAGGGAGTTTGGTTTCGTCGGCTCGAACGCAGTCTCAATCGAGCCTCTCTGCGTCTTTATGAGGAACTTCACGGTACCGTTAATCATCTCTAGCACAAGATAATCCCTTTTACCGTGCACCGACAGCAAATGTCCAGATGTCGATCGCGGTTTTATGTCCATTTGAATGTCGACCGTGCGGTCTACGTTAAATCGATCGACTGAAAATTAATAAGATACTTCCTTTAGTTAACAATCTTCAATTTAGCTAATTGCTATTGCCGACTCGGAAACAATATCGAAACATTTTTTTTATTTAACGTACATTTGTATTAATTGTCTCACCTGCTTTGAATAAATTACTGCCGTTTCCTGGGAAGAAGAAGAGACCGGGCTCCACTCTCTTCGAGCAGGGTATTACGCCTATCTTTTCCGACGGCTCTCCAACGAGTTGTCCATTCATCATGAAATTTCCTAGGCAGCCGCTGAACGTTTTATTGAGACCCTAAAACAAAACAAAAAATTTGTCATATTTTCGTAATTCTAAGCATGAGATTAAAAATTAGGCAATCTCACAATATTCGTGTATGCGATGTTGGATATTTCCGGCAAGACGCCACCCACGAAGAACGGCGGATTGACATTGATAGTGGTAGTGTGTCCTAATGAGTACCCACCCACCGGTTCCTCCTCGTCCACAATCAGCTGGCCGTAGTTACCTTGTCTCTTGAAGAGCACGATATGCCATTGGTTGTTGTTGATCATCTTTTCACTCATTAGCAATGCCGGTCCGCTGCCGCAATCGAATTTGTAGTGAATCTTGAAGGATAATTTTCCCAAAATCAGGATGGTTTGTAAGACAACTTTTCCTCATGTGATTGAAAGTCCGTTCTTTACCTTTCCACCAAGCATGTATACGGCGATTAAATCTTGCTTATTGAGGTCGGAAGTATAGAATATAATTCCATCGTCCGCCATTGTTTTTATATCAATCTGGAAATCGTAGTCGTCTTTGTATCTTCCCTTTAGTGTCCTATATTCTAATCTACTGTTCCTCGCAGTACCTTAAAAAAAAATTATTGAGAACATTGTTTGAGAAATTTTATCGACATAAATTAGTGTCGGATCAAATGTAATATTTTCATCTGAGTATTTTTTCCACTTATTTAAAAATGTCCAAAATACCAAATCGCCAAGCATTCTCAAGATCAGGATCGGTTGCCGGGTAGTATGGCAAATGACACTGGTCGACAGTTTGAGGCTCCTCGGTTGGCGTAGTAGGCATAGTCGGCGTGAAATCATGTTTATCTAAATTAATTCGTCCTTCTAGCTCTGGTTCTTCCTCTTTGTCATCCTCCTTGTCTATGTCGACGTCTATTATATCTAAAAGAAAATTATTTGTTTCTGTCCTATTTACCCATCATTGCTTATAGTAATACGATTTATATACATATATAAATTTCACTCTATTATTGTAAAGATTTTGCTTCGCTTACTGATTTGAGTCGACGACTCTACTGTGTCTTCCGGCCCTTCCGACGGTAGTAACGGTGGCAAAAATTCAGGTTCGACAGTCGGTGGTAAAACTAGAAAAAAAAAGATATAAGCGATTAAACACCACTGAAATAGTTCGACGAGAATTCTATTAGTTAATATCACAACATACGCGTCTGATCACCGCCCTTGCACTTTCCTAGGAACGCGTATGGTCTCTCCGTCGTGTTGGCGAAATTGATAATGATCTCGCTGTTGAGGGTTGCGTCGCCAATACAGCCGACGAAGGGCATGTCAACCGAACCGAAGCCTGACGGCAGTCCACCGATGTACAAGTTGCCGTAGAGGAAGTGTAACGGTGGCGGTGCCGAATCAGTTCTGTAGC